GAGCTGGACCCCGAGAGAGGGCTTCCTCTGGGGTCCATCATCCTAAGCTGGGCCTCCAGCTGTTTAAGAGGGGAGCCAGTGCAGTGTGGTGGTTTAGAGTGCGGTAGGCTCACAGTCAGACTGGTTTAAAATGGAGGCTCTGATGCTGATCTTACCTTCTTTTTTTTCTTCTTTTTAAAAAAATATATTTTATTGATTTTTTTTTTTACAGAGAGGAAGAGAGAGGGATAGAAAGTTAGAAACATTGATGAGAGAGAATCATCGATCAGCTGCCTCTTGCACACCCCTTACTGGGGATGTGCCCACAACCAAGGTACATGCCCTTGACCGGAATTGAACTCAGGACCCTTCAGTCCGCAGACCAACACTCTACCACTGAGCCAAACCGGTTTCGGCTGATCTTACCTTCTTTCACCTTAATTTCACCACCTGTGATGTGGGGATAACTCTACTGCTGTCACAGGTTTATTGTGAAAACTCAGCATATAGAACTCTATCTGACACACTGTGAGTGTGCAGTCAGTGTCACTCAGCTGTGCAGTAACTCCGCAGCCCTTGTCTGGCTCCCTGGCTCTGCAGGCCTCTCCCCACCCCCTACCCTCACCGCCACCGCTGACCCCCTACCCTCACCGCCACCGCTGACCCCCTACCCTCACCGCCACCGCTGACCCCCTACCCTCGCCGCCACCGCTGACCCCCTACCCTCACCGTCACCTACCCTCACAGCCACCGCTGACCCCAAGCAGCTGGGAAGATGGCGGAGGAGTTCCGGGAATGTTGTGGTGCCTTGGCGAGTTCAGATTTCTTCTACCCTGGGCTTCTCCATCTGCTCACTGATGGCTCCCAGGGGCAGGCAGGGCTCGGGCAGCGCTGTCCGGAGGAAGGAAGAGCGGCCTCTCCTCCTCTCCCAAGAAACTGAGCCTCTTGGCCCCAAAGGCAGGTGCACAAGTCTCCTCTCAAAAAGGTCCCGATAAGGCTAAGCACACCTTTCTCCTGCCCGGGCTGTTGGGCCTAATTCTCGCTCTCGGAGCCTCAATTTCCCTGTCTGTGGCCATTGGGACGAGAATGCTTCGCCCCATCCCCACCGTCTCTATGGCAACTGCAATCGATGCTGGTAGTGTCCTCTGGGCGGGAGAGGTCACTGCTTCCTTCCCTTTTATATTCTCATACAGTTCCATGCCGATACAATTACACAACCACCAGAGACTGGGACTCCTATTTATAGGACACATCCATATTACCAGTCCTCAGACCCACAGCCCCTGAGTCTACTACTAAAACATAGACACGGCCACCCATACACACCCAGAAATATTCCAGTACACTCTTCAACACACACCATAGATAACCAGGTCGCATACCCCTACACACAAGACACACACCTAATAGACAGGTGCACAATCAGATATAGACACACAGGCACGTATTTTCCATACTAACAGGAATATACACACCAGAAAACACCCAGACGCCCATCTCATATTCTGACCCATACGTCTCCTACTTACTCATAATCTCTCACACTGCCCTTCCCTGCCTGCCCCCTAAGGACAGCTCCTCTTTCTGCCCCTCCCTTTGGCACGGAGTAGCCACAGGGTGTCCGGGGAAGCTGTCCTGGGGACAGAGTCGGTCACTGTATCCCTCCTCTGGCCTGGCCGGGTCCATATCCTTCACACCGAAGGCTCCCAAGAAGATGCCAGCCTAGAGGCTGAGTGGCCTGTGGAGAGGAAGCGGCTGTGGCTGGGAGGCCAGTGGGGCAGGGGCGGAGTGAGGGAGGTGGTGAGAGGGAGGAGATGCAGAGAAGAAGGGGCGGGAGGCTGCCGGCAGTCTTACTCTCCATGGGGAGCCCGAGGGGGAGGTGGTGTGAGTAGGGCTGGCGGGCAGGCGTGCCGAGTCTCTGCCTGGGGCCATGCCCCCGGGCCCACCATGACCCTGGATGGGCTGGAGATGGTCGCCGTGCTTGTGGTCCTCGCTCTGTTTGTCAAGGTCCTGGAGCAGTTTGGCCTCTTTGAGCCTGTCTCCTTGGAAGGTAACCCAGGTGCCTGGGCAGCTCTGGGCTGCTGGCTGGGGGGGCAGCGCCTGCAGCACTGGGGAGGGGCTACTCTGACATGACGGGGAGCAGGAGCCAGCTGGTTAGTGATGGAACCGGGCATCTCCGGGCGGTGAGGAGGGAATCTTGGGGAACAGGACATCTGGGAGAGGTAAAGACGGGAACTCTGTGCTGGGGCATCTAGGGGAGGGAAGGAGGGAATCCTGGAGGACTGGGAGGTGAAGAGAGAAGACCAGAGGACATGATGGAAATGATGAGGATGCAGTGCAGGAGGACTAGGGTATGGAGATGAGGGAAGCCTGGGAGGTGTGAGGAGAGGTCTGGAGATAAACTGCATACCTAGGGTAGAGGAAGGAGGTTCCGGGAATCCTGACATAACACTAGACTTCTGGGGAGTCCCTTTTGGGGCCAGGGGCCCACAACGGCTCTGAAGATGCTTCCCACACCTCTATCCTCGCAGGCATAGGTACCAGAGAGTTTGTGGACTCAGGGGGTGACAGATTCAGGGGGTATGATGGTGTGTGTTCATGTGTGAGATGGTAAAGGATGAATGTGTGACTGTGTGAGCCTGTGTATTGTGACGGGGATGTGATTTAATGTGTCAAAGTGACAGAGTGTGTGGCTTTGTCAGGTGGTAGATGCGACTGTGTCTGAGCGGACTGGGTATGAGCTGAGCCTCTTCGGGGATCAGGTTGTGTGTGTGGCTGTTCCCAGAGTTTCCTGACAATGTAACAGTGCTATTCCCAAGACTTGGGATGGGAATGGGCTCTGGAGGGACAGGAGAAGGAACACTGAATGAGACACTTGCAGGTCAGCTCTGGCAGGGGGGTGAGGGGTGGGTCAGGTTGGGACCCTGCTTCCTAAGCCCCCATATCCTCTCAGGATCCAATGGCAGATGGTCTCCAGGGTGCAGACACAGGGAGTGAGAAATCAAATTTCCACTCCACTCCCAAGTCAGTTGGGGAGAGTGATACTGGAGGTAGCGGGGGGACATATTCTGCCTCCACCAGAGTGTTTTGGTCTCTGCCTCTGGTTACAGCAAGAGCTGTGCAGCTTCATAGCATGGCTGTTCCCCAATTCCACCAGGGACAGGAAAACAAGCAGGAACCGTGAGAGGAAAACTGCATGAGGCGATGTGGAAGGAGCTAGGGAGAACAGGAGGTCCATGCATTGCCTGCTCTAGTGTTCAGTTAGAGCAGAAAACTCCATCCTCTGCTGCATTGTTTGAGATGGGACGGGAAACAGGAATTGGACCGACACAAACTAGGGTTCATCCAGTTTTTAAAAGATGAAATCAGTTGGGCTCTAACTTGCCACCCCCTTTAGACTATTTAGTGGGATGAGGGGTCACCTAGGAAACCCAGCATCCCTTAGGCTGAAAGCAGCCCCTTTCTCTTTCTACCTTCAGAAGAGCCTAGAGGGAGGAGATTGAGTCCTGGGAGCAGGTAAGGAGGATGTGCGAAGAGGTGGTGGTTGGAAGAGGGCGGGAGTCCCTACCCCCACCCCAACCTCCCCTGTCTGGTGGCAACTCTACCACCAAAGTCCCCAGGTGCAACCCGGCTTCGTGAAACCAAAGTCCAGGCTAATGGAGTCCTGGGCCAGGGGCCAGGCTGCCATCGATCCCCCGTCCAACCCACTCCCTCCCTCCCACCTCTCCATCGCTCCTGCTGCGGAGGGAGAGAGGACATATTGGAGGAGGAGAAGGCCGTGACTTCTAGCACTTACTTTCTGAAGATGGAGACTGACTTGGAAGGGCAGGGCCTGTGTGGGAGCTGGGATGCCCAAGTAACCTACAACCAAACAAAGTTGGGGTCCTCTGTGTCCACACCAGGACCCCTGGATTCTGGCCCTGGAGCCTGGAGGTGGGTGCAGTTGGGAGACAGGCACACATGAATGTGGGGGGTCGCCTTAGGAGGCAATTAGAGCTGTAGGACAAGTGTATAAATAAGAGGAAGGGAGATGAATGGTGATCAGTGGGCTCACACCAAAATACTCATCTTAAGTTCTGTTATTGAAATCAAAGTGTGCTATGATTTCCCTTTCAAAGAGCTAGCCATACTAGAAAGGACCGGGAAGGGATGTTTTTAGGGTGGATGAGTTAGCTGATGAGGAACTCTGTTCCACTGGTAAGAAGATTAGGTGCCTTGGAATAAGGAGTTGTAGAACAGAGAGGTGGACATACCCAGGACAGACAGGGGTTCTGTGGGTGGGGTGCAGTCTTAGGTATCTGGTTACCATGGGCACATAGGTCATAACATGATCATGGATATGTGACGTTGTGACCTTGATATGTGGCATGATATTATAAGGTCTTAGTGTGTCATTAATGCATTGTGTCATGAAGTCCCAGGGTCATTGTGTGTTTTGTGTGGTTTGATCACGCTGTGTGTGAGATGGCCTGCAGAGGTCCTCATGTATATGTTTTCCTAGGTTGTTTATATTTGTATTAAGGAATTTTAGGTCAGTGTGTGTGTGTGTGTGTGTGGGTGTGTGTGTGTGTGTGTTGAAGTAGGCCATTGGGTGTGAGTTACTGGGTATTGGGCTGTCACTATGGCATCCATTACTCCGTCATTTATCATGCTATGTGTCTCTATACATGCCTGTCTGGATGTGTCTGTGAGAGAGAGGTGTTCCTACCCAGGTGGACATCACCCTCAGAGGTTCAGCCATAACACTGGAGGCAAGGGCACTGGGTCAGCAGACACTGAAGCCAGTGCTACTTTTCCCCCACCCCCTACCCCACTGCCTCGCAATCCCTGGCTGCATCCCATTAAGCAAGGTGTCCAAGTTGCCTCTGAAACCCACTTGGCTCCTCTAACCCAGCCCCAGCCGCCTCCTCTTAATTCTCCTCCAACACCCGCCCCCAATCGGGGTTAATTGTGATGGTGGGAAAGGGAACGGAGGGGCAGAGGGGGCTAATGTGCCTTCCTGGGGTCTTCTCTCTCCCCAGGCCACCCTCCAGGGCCTGCTAAAAAAGCGCTGAAGCAGCGGTTCCTCCAGCTGCTGCCATGCTGCGGGCCCCAAGCCCTGCCCTCAGTCAGTGAAAGCAAGTGCTGCTCCTGTACTTCCGGGGCGGGGTCTGTTGTGTGGGATGGGACCGTTGTGTGGGGAGCGGGTGTGTGTGTGTGTGTGTGTGTGTGTGTCTCCAGTGTGTCGGTAGAGTTAGGGTGGGCGCTGGCTGGCACAAGAGCGAGCAGCAAGCGTAGCTACCTCTTTGGGAAGAATCTGGTTGTGGGTGTGGCCAGCGTGGGGCGTGGCCTGAGTGTCTGCGGGCGGGGCCTGCTTGAGGAGTGGGCGGGGCCTGTGTCTGGGCGTGACCAGTGTGGTTGGGCTGAGGCCTGAGCCTAGTGCTGGGGCGGGTCCAGGCGGCTGTGCGGTCTGTGCTGGCTTACCTGGGTTGTCTAGTCTCCGGCCTCCCGTCCTGTCCCTGGCATGTTTTGGTTGTCAACATGTGTGTCCCCCATGCGAACGGAGCGCTCCTTCCACCAGATGCCAGGACACTTGGATTTCCCGGTGGCAACCTGGTTCCGAGTTGAGAGATCTCCCTTTGTCTCTAGTCCATACCTGTTCCTTCAGTCGGGCCTAGTCCATGTCATATGCAAGCTCTAAAGGCCCGTTTTGTAGTTATTTGAGAGTGTTTGATTCCTGATCCCACTTGGGGATCGATTTGGAAAAAGGGCAGGCGTGAGCCTCTCAAGCACGCGTGCGTGGGGCCCATTTCATGTGTCTGTGCCCGTTCGTCGTGTGTGCTTCTGCGTGCGGGGCTGGGTGTGCGCACTGTAACTCGCGGGTCTGTGAGATTCGCAGTGAGTGTGAGGAGTGTGTTTGCAGTTGGCCGGGTCTTCAGCTTTCTCGGTGACAGTTCGCTCCCTTCAGCATTAGCTGCCCCAGCCTCCCTACGCCCCCACAGACCCCGCCCGCTGGACCCAGGTGACTTACTCTCCTGGTGGGGGCGGGGGCGGGGGTGCTTCGGGAGCACGGGGTGGGGGTATTTGCTTGGGGACTGGATGTTGGGGGCTGGGAGGGTCCTGAAATGGGGCCGAGGGTGGGGCCTTGGCTAAGACTTAATGGAGGCAGGGTGGGGTCTGGATGGGGCTTGGCTGGAGCTGGACGGGGCATGGCTCAGGCATGGCTGGGGTAGGCGGGGTTTGGTAGGAAGGAAGGATCTGGAAAAGGCAAGACCTGGACTGGGCAGATCTGAGTTGGTCTGGGAAGTCCCAGAGCTGGGATCCTCAGAATCCCCCTCTTGAACCTGTCTTTACTACTCCAACCCCTTCTGGGATGAAGATGGGTTTGGGGCTTTTCCCGCCAACCAGGGACCAAGGGCCCAGGGGCCTGAGATGGGTCGGATCCCTGGCTCTAGGACCAGGCACTGGCCTTGGCTGATAGACCTTGAAGCTGACCAGTGTCTTCTCTCCTCGGTTTCATGTCCTTGGCTTGGGGTCCAGTGAGCTGGCAGGCTGGTCCCTGGAGTCGGAGATGAGGGGGATGTATGGGTCTCTGATTTTGGAGAAGGGCAGTGGGGACCGGGCCTGAGGCTCGGCTCTCCCTCCCCTCGTCCCCCCTAATCCTCGCAGACAGCGTGGAGGATGAGTTTGAGCTGGCAACCGTGTGTCACCGGCCCGAGGGTCTGGAGCAGCTGCAAGAGCAAACCAAGTTCACTCGCAAAGAATTGCAGGTCCTGTATCGAGGCTTCAAGAACGTGAGTGCGAAGCCAGGCCAGACGGGGTGAGGGGTGGGGCAGGAGGGGCGGGGCCTACCCAGGACTTCTCAGGAGGGTGGCCTGGCTTTGGGGTGTGAGAGGGAAGGGAGGCGGAAGGAGAACTCCCTCCTCTGCCCCTCCCAGACGGAACTTCTAGCCGGAGTTCTGGCCTGTTTGAGATGGGCAGACCAGACTGCCAGCTTAGTTCTGTATTTTATTTATTTTATTTTGTCTCATTTTATTTGTGTACTGGGAGAAGTCTTGCCTCCCATTAGAAAAGCTGCATGGTGAGCCTCCAGGAGCCATGAAGATTTTTCCTTCTCTGGGAATCTCTGGGCATGGTGAGAGAGGGGTAGGAAGAAGAGTAAGTAGAAGGGGGTTTTGTCTGTCTTTAGCTTGGTCTCCCCATTCCCCAGGAATGTCCCAGTGGAATTGTCAATGAGGAGAACTTCAAGCAGATTTACTCCCAGTTCTTTCCTCAAGGAGGTGAGGGGACAGGCCTGAAAGGGTGCAGCTGTTCATCTCTAGGCTGAGGGGGGCAGGAGGGGCTGGGAATGCCAAATGATGAGAAGCTTGGGGAACCCCATAGAGATAGGAAGCCCTCTGCTGTCTGGAAGTCAAGCTTACTGTCCCCCACATATTCTACAGACTCTAGCACATATGCCACTTTTCTCTTCAATGCCTTTGATACCAACCATGATGGCTCAGTCGATTTTGAGGTAAGCTGGAGGAGGTGGGCCCGGGAGGCCTAGAACTTCAGGGCCAGAATGTATAGGCCAGCCCCAGAGAGCAGGTTGGGTAAAGGGTCTCTAAAGACACGTTTTCCTCCCTGCCTCCTCCTCAGGACTTTGTGGCTGGTCTGTCAGTGATTCTTCGGGGAAGCATCGATGACAGGCTGAACTGGGCCTTCAACCTGTATGACCTCAACAAGGACGGCTGCATCACCAAGGAGGTGTGCAAGGCAACTGGAGAGCTGGAAGGGGGTGCAAAAGGCCCACAGGAAAGAAATGTCACCCACATATGCATCATCAGCAGGCTAATGCCTGCGCTAGGGCCTAGGCCTCCTGGTTTGGAGGCTAGAGGCTCTGAAGAGGGACCCTCTTTTTTTCTTGGTCCAACAGGAAATGCTTGATATCATGAAGTCCATCTATGACATGATGGGCAAGTATACATATCCTGCACTCCGGGAGGAGGCCCCAAGGGAACATGTGGAGAGCTTCTTCCAGGTGCTTGGGACTGGGTAGGCTGGAGGGCCCTGGAGTGTAGAGAAGGTGAGGTCCCAGTAGGGAACTTGCCTGAATTCTACCTGCCTCTCTCCCGCCATCCATCCTGTTCTCCCTCCCTCCAAACTACCTTTTTGCAGAAGATGGACAGGAATAAGGATGGCGTGGTGACCATTGAGGAATTCATTGAATCTTGTCAAAAGGTACAGGTCCCCTCCCTCCATATTCCTGGTCTGGACTCAGGGCCTAATTCAATGATATAGGAGAAGGCTCCTTAACTCACCCCCACTCCCAATCCTGTTCCTTCACAACTGGGGGAGGCCTGCCATTCTTCACCTCTGGTCTCTCTGGGTGTCTCCTTCCTCATTGCCTCTCTGCATTTCTGAATGTCCTCATTTATGACTCAGTGTCTCTCTCCCTGCCTCTGACAAGCTCTTTTTCTTTCTTTCTCCAATCTGCCTCTCTCACACCATGGCTACAGGATGAGAACATCATGAGGTCCATGCAGCTCTTTGACAATGTCATCTAGTTCACCAGGAGAGGGGGTCAGTTGTCCTGTGGCGGGACCATGCTCTAGCCCTAGTCCAGTTGGACCTCATCTTTCTCTTCCTAGCTCTCTCCTCACCCTATCCCTGCCCTAGGGCCTGTAGGAATCCAAGAGGCTGGGGATTCGGTGGTTCAGATCATTGGAGCTGAAGGAGCCAGGGAGTGGGCGGAGTGTATCAGCTGGTATTCCCAATTCCCAATGGCTCCACCCCCTCCCTGACAGTGCTAAGGATGCCCCTGCTGAAGGAATTAAGTGGTTCTCCACTTCCAAACCCCACTCTAGAAGCCACGATACTAGACAAAATTTCTCCTGTTACGGTGCTTCCCCCATCCCTGTTAACATAAACATTTTCCTTAAGACTCCCTTCTCAGACAGGTCTTTGGCACTAATTGGCCTTTCAGAGCAGGGCCTTAGAGAGCTCCACAGGAGAGGGACAAGGGAGAACTCTCGGGCTTCAGGCAGTGGCTCGGCCCTAGGAAGTAGCTGGGATATAAAGCAGAAAGGCCTAGAGATTGTGAGACCTGAGGCTATGACTCTGAGCTCTACAGGTCTGCCACCAGAATATGAGTTTCCAGGCTCTTCAGAAGACCCTGGTTCCTTAGAAACACCCCAGAAATGTTCCACACAATGTTCAGTATACCAAGAGATCCTGGGGTTGTGAAGTCTGGCTCATCCCTAGAATTTTTTTCTCTCCTTCCTTCCTGTTTGTATGTTGGCAGCAGAAGAATATGGCTGGGAGATGTCCTGGCTGATTCCTGCCAAAGGTTCAGCCTACCAGCATAGAGTGAGTCAGGACCACCCAGTGGATGCATTAGAAGAAAAGGGAAGGAGGGAAACAGGCATAGCATCTAAACCCAGTGAGGGGGCATTCATTAGCATATTTGTTCTACCCAGGCTTTATTTCAACCTCCCAGAGAGCCTCCCCAATTCCCATCTAGTGTCTCCTCTTGCTCTATTAAATCTACCCAGAGATGCCCCTGAACACACCTAGAAGGCAGGAATCGTAGGATCCAGGTCTCATATCATCAACAGCACCCCTGCCATGCTGCCACTCCTTACTATACCTGCTTGTCCCACTAGCTAGGATCTGAGGGCAAGGGCCCCTAGGAAGCTCCCTTTCCCATCAGAACACTGTTGGCTGCTTTGCATTTTTGGCTCCTCTGTATATTTTGTAAAATAAGAAATACACCAGATCCAATAAAACACAATGGCTATGCACAGGCTGCTGTCTCTGCCTTTTTGTCTCTCCTACCCCACACGTACCTCTAACTCATGTACCTGAAACCTTTTAGATCCCAAAGAAAGTGCCTCTCTTTCCCACAGTATGGCCAACCACTGGCAGGAGACCAAGGCACAGGTTCTGAAAAGGCTGGAAACCTACCTGACCTCAGAGAAGCAACCATGGGAATCTCTCCCTTTAGAAATGACAAGGAAGAGACAGGATATTAATGTCCAAAAGACATGCCAAACCACCTGTCTTTTGTCTAGACATTGTGACAAGCTGAATCAAGAATTTCTAATTGATAGACATCAGTTAATCTCAAAGTGCTTTCTTTGGACGGGGAGCATTCTCTTTAGTTTCTAATGGAAATTTCATTGTATAAACATCCCAATCTTGCCTCCAGTATGGACATACATTTATGTCTATACTGCAGCCAAGAATGGATCAGATGGAGTGGACCCAGGGCAGGTGACCATGGAGCAGGTGACACTAGGGTAATAGAGACTTCCTTTGTGGGGTGGGAACCTTTTTTTGTTTTGTTCCAGGAGAGAGGCCACCAATGGTAGATTCCTGCCATTCTTTCTCCAAGGTTCCTTCATATAGTTACTAAGCTTAGCCATCCATAGAAGAGGGATCAGGCCTTCTATTCCATAACTCTACACGCTGACAAGGTCAAGGGAAGGGTATGGTATCCAAGAAACAAATAGTTCCAAAGGGCATCATTTTGTCATCTGTCCTGGCTCACATCACACAATTGTCTGATCCTTAGGTCCTTGGGTTTTTTTGGGTCACAACACCTCTGAAGGATCTGATGAAAGCTATGGGTTTACTGTCCACAAGGAAAAAAAAAAAGCACACTTTTCCATTTATTTGTGTATCCCCGAAGCCCATTCATGGGCCTTAGTTAAGAACCTGTGATTTAGCCAAAACCAGTTTGGCTCAGTGGATAGAGCGTCAGCCTGTGGACTGAAGGGTCCTGGGTTCGATTCTGGTCAAGGGCATGTACCTTGGTTGTGGGCATATCCCCAGTGGGGGGTGTGCAAGAGGCAGCTGATCGATGTTTCTCTTTTATCGATGTTTCTAACTTTCTATCCCTCTCCCTTCCTCTCTGTAAAAAATCAATAAAATATATTTTAAAAAAAGAACCTGTGATTCAGTTATCTTTTGGCCTTCCATTGTAGAGAAGAGGAAACAGGCACATTTATAGGAGGACTCAGTCCCCTAGTCTGTTCAGGGTGGCCTTGTGGCACAGTGGAGATCTGTGTATGAAAGATGGATACTGTAAACAAGGTGACACTGACAGGCTCTCATGGTGCCCTATGCTTTTCCTTCATGGCACATCTCAGCTTATAACTATGTAGTGCTTTTGATACACTGTAAGCTCTTGAGGGCTTCTTGAGTGCCTGGACTAAGTTCTCCCCACCTCACTGTCTTATCCTCAAGGCCTGGCAAATAATAGGCACTCAATAATTGTATGATTGGATGAATGAGCATGGTGAGTGTGTGTATATAACTGGATTAGGCATGGAGACATTTTCTATATTTTAGGGTAGATCCACATTCAAGGGAAGCTGAAGTCTGAGCTGAGAATTTCTAGTGACGTAGGAAGTGCCCCAGAACCAGAGCACACAAATGGGAACCAGAAAAAAAACAGGTTGGCATTCTGATATTTTCCCTATCCATTGGTCAGACTCTGAATGTTGTCAGCTGCTTTGTCTCAAAACACCCTCCTTTCCTGCCTTCCAGTATTTTGTATAATACTTCCTGGTTTTTCTCTTACATTTCCGGATGACCCTTCTGACCCCTTTCCTGCAGACTCGTCCTTTTCAACTGGAATTCTAAACAACACTGGGCCCCACAGCTCAGACTTGAGCTTCTTCTCTAAATCACTGTAAACCCCGTGGCTTCATTTATATGTAGAGGACTCCTGAGTTTATAGCTTCAGAATTTATTTGACATATTCGTGTGGATCTGAAATGTTCATACTTAACATCTTCAAAATGGAACTTTGATTCATGCCTTCCAAGTATCCCCCGTTTCAGTAAATGATACCATCCACCTAGTTGCTCAGGTGAAAATTGAGAATTCTTCATTTCTTCCTCTCCCTCACTCTCCCTCTTACCCCCTTTTAATCAATCACCAATTCCACCACAAAAGCTGTACCACCTCTCTCTCTCCACTGCTGCTCCCTAGTCAAAGCCACTGTCATTACTCACCTGGATCACTACTTACTCTTCCACCTAAAGTAGCCCCTCTTTGCTGTGGTTACTTTTTATCACCTCCATTTCTTCCCTTCATAATTACTTATCACAAACTGAGTTCCTGCGTATGTATTGAATTTATTATGGCCTGTTTCCTCAACTAGAATGTACCCTCTGTGAGAGCAGGGCCCTATCTCATTTATCCACAAATATTTATCACAGACCTATTAAATTTTAATTCCTATTGTAGGTGAGGTATGGAGAGCAAGTGTATAGCAAGAACTGCCCTTCAAATTTGAGAGATATAGATGTGGAAAGTAGATCTTGCTTGGACCACAGACTTGAGTCTGGCCTGTGGAGAGAGGAAATTGTGGCTACTGGGTTGCTAGCAGATATCATGGTGTGAGGTGAGAGGCAAAGAGTAAAGTGTCATGAGACTAACGGCTGGGGCCAGCTGGAATAACAGTCTTCAATTCCACAAGTGATCACAGGATCCACTGAAGCTGCTTATGACTCCCAATTGTTATCACAGGAAATCCGCTAAGAAAATGCTTACCCGCTTAACCCCAATCTCAACATTCTCAGAATAAAAACAAACATGGGCTATAAGTGTTTTTAGAGCTACAAGTCGAACTACCACCCACCACGCCTTTGTAATCACAATGAGACTGAGATGCTTATTTCACATTTTACCTCACACCTTGAGACAGATCTCTCTACATAAATGTAGGTGCATTCTGACAGAACTACAGGAGGCTCTGAGAACATACAGCAAGGGGATCCGAGCCCGTCTGAGGCTAAGGGAAGGCTTCCCCAAGGAACTGATGTTTATGCTGAGGCCCAAGGGATCTCACTTCTCATTCACAATTCTCGCTCGCTCCCCATTCCTAAACACACCTGGCCTTTTCACCCCTCCCTACATTTGTACTCTGTTCCTTTTGCCTCGAGTGTTTTCTTCAGGACTCACTCTGGCTAACGCCTCATTCTTTAACATGCAGCTCAAACACAACACCGTCATGGCCACTGCCTCTTCCCCAGAGGGGATGCAGTCAGTCCCTTCTCTGCTCTCCGTTAGCACTTGGCCTCACCTTATGGGGGTTGTGTGTATACCTGGTTGCCTCCACCGCCATGCTGTGAGCTCATAGTGACCCTACATACAGCCCAGCACGAGGCAAGCTCAATAGGTGTCTGCGGAAGGAAGGAGCGAATGATTGATTTTTTTTTTTTTTTAAGGAGAGCCAAGCCGAGGGTAGAGGAAAATAATGATTCAAGCCACAGGGGTCAGCTGAGCACCTTGACGCTTGGTCTTCACAGAACCGAGCCTGGGCCGTCGTCATGAACCAACCCTATGCGAAGAAGAACCCCGACACAAATAGGTCAACTCCTTCCTGCGTCTTTAAGAACCAGAGGCTTCGTTCCCGCGCCTGCGCACTGGGGGAGTAAACGCCTCTCTCCTCCCCTCCTTTTCCCAAGTGCCCCAATGGACTGCAGCCCCCTCCCACATTCCCTTCCTTTGGGTGGGGTCACTGTCCGCCCCGCGGCGCCCGGCTGGTTCCGGAGGGTGGCGGACCCGAGTGGTACATCCTGCCGCTTTCACTACCTTCCGCTTTCCGCGGCTCCCCGCTTCCCCTTCTCCCCGCCGAAAGGCTCGCGATAGGCCTGCCCTGCCGGAGGCGGGGGAGCCGGGCTGAGGGGACCGGTCTGAGCCGGTCTCCGGCGCAGGCGCAGTGCGGATAAACAGGAAGCTGGTGGTAGCGGCAGCGGCAGGAGAGACCTCTCGGGGTTTCGGGGGGGAACCAGCGGAAGAACGAAGCTTCCAGGGCGGGCAGCGGAGGCCAGCTGAGGACGGAGAAAAGCCGCTTTGGCCGCCTGCCTCCCGGGGGCGAGAGGCGCAGCGCCGCTCTGGGCTTAGGCCTCCCGCTCCGCCGGCTCCGGCTGCGGCTGCAGCTGACAAAGGGCTCGCTCCGGCGCCGCCGCCCTTCTCATCCGGGCACTCGGGTCCCTGCGGAGCGGGCGGGGGAAGGGCGGAGGGGGAAGGGCAGGAGCCCGGGAGCCGAGCACTTGGAGCGGAGGAGGCCCTGTCCGCGGCTCTGGCCCGGGGGTCCGGCAGGCGGAGGCCGAGGAGGAGCCGCGGCCGAGGAGGGCCCGTAGCGGTGGCGGCGGCGGCGGCCGGGGCCAGGAGGATGGTGCAGAAGGAGAGCCAGGCGGCGCTGGAGGAGCGGGAGAACGAGCTCAACGCCAACCCTGCCAGCTCGGCGGGGGCAGCGCTGGAGCCCCCGGCCACGCCGGCCCCCGGGGAAGACACCCCGGCCGGGGCCGGGGGCGCTGCGGCGCCCGGGGCGGCCGGAGGGGCTCGGAAGTTCCTGTGTGGCGTGGTGGAAGGTGAGCGTTCTGCGCGGGCCGGGCGGGAGCGGCCCCTCCAGGACTAACAGGTTCTGTCCTGGGGGGCGGTGCCGGGGGCTCAGAGCCCTGGGGTTGAAATTGGACCCTGCTCACCCGGGCGAGAGGCGAGGAGGTGGGCAGGCCTCCCCTCTGGTTCTTAAATGGCGTCGAATTCCCCTCTGGCGATTAAGCCCGACCCCACCCGCCGCGGGCTGCGAGCCAGCCTCTCCTGCGGAGGCGGCGGCGGGAGCGAGTGCTGGGCTCCCAGTTGTACTTACGTGTCTGTTCCCGGGGATGTTCCTCTTGGGAAAAAATAACCCCACACGTCTGCTGGTTGTACTCCTGCAGGGGAGAGAAGCACAGTAGGCCGACAGCCTTACTATTTCCTTTTAGCTTAGAATTCTTTTTTTTTTTTTTTTTTTTTTTTTTGCTGGCCCGTCATCCCCCCCCACCCCCCATTTGAAGATTCACTTGCAGCCCAGGAAGTTGCCCCTTGCCAACCACGGTGCTTTGCCCCCCTCCGAGGGAAGGAGCTTTCCTTTTAATGTCTGAGATACGGAATTTTAATTGAGTGACTGCAGGCGTGGTTTTAAGAATGCCCTCGAGACCTCCCTTCCCGCTTTGGAACGATGGACTTTTTTGGTAGTTGGGGGAAATGACACGATTTATTAATACAACGGGCAAATATTCCGCTGTATATGTGGCGTTGGAAGCGTTCATCAGATACTTTGTTACCGTTTCCTCGAGTACAGCATATACAGATGGATTTGAATTTACTGAAGTATTTGGGCCGACCCAGGGTTTCCTAGCTGTCTGCTTTATTCTCTCCTATACGTCAATGGCATGTATAGGAGTAAAAGTGCATAAAAATTAGTCTATAAAGAAACCAAAAAGCATGGAAAAGGAAGGATTGTTGCCCTCTTAGTATCAGTGTTATCGGTATACAGCAGCAGTTTTCAGCAGTTTTCATTTCATGGCACATATAAACTAATTACTGAAAAACTGCAGCACACTAAAAAATTGATTTTTTTTTGTCAGTCTGACAAAAAGATCGGTATAGTGTTGATTAACTCACACCGGATAGCTATTGTGTTGGCTGTTGTCATGTTTTAAAAATTCTTGTCACACACCAGTTGCAATTTGCTGGCATAGTGTACACATTTGAAAGATGGGTGATAGTTATTGCATTTTAGGTAAATTGTAGGGTGTTGAGAACAGACTAATTTTCAGTAAGGAGTGAAACAGCTCAAAAATTCTGTTTAACATGCAGAATTTGGGGGAAGACAGAATGGAAAACTACTTTTGTATTTGGAGTTAATATTGGAGGATACAGAAATCTTAGACTAGAGTGAGTCTAGGGAAACTTACCTAAAGTAATTAGATAAAAGCTTGTTGTAGTTTGAATAAATTGGTTTGTTTTTCAGAATGGTATTGAAAGTGAACTACTCTTTTTAGAGAATAGACTTTTCTTGTTATGTGTTGTCCCACCTCTGTCCCATTCCCTTGTATATTTTCTTGGTGGCTACTAAGCACCTGATAGTCGTTTGTTTGTTTGTTTTTATACTTGTAAGTTGGCACTCTTCCTAAAATGAACGGGATAGAAAGAAATACTGTATGTATTGTCAGGATTCCTTTTTTGTTTTCTTTGTTGGTTTTAACTTCTTTGTAATAGCACTGCTTCCTCTTTCTGGTGCCAATTAATCAAAACCAACCTGACTTTCGAAGAGCAAAGCTAGGATTTCTGAAAGTGATTCTTTGCTATATTGAGGCAGCTTTAAAGTGATGTTTAATGCATACTCCTTTAAGAGAAAAATGATAATGTTAAGTGTTCTAGGAAAGCTATAAAGACTTGTATAAAATTTACCTACTGTTGTAAGCAAGATCACCTTAAGAGGGTGATCACCTGTAAGAGGGTAACCCTGAATTGTCGAGATTGAAAATTGCTGGTTTCATACATTGGTATGTAATGAATGTTTCGGGGGGGAGGGCTGTCATTGTCCTTGTTTGTGGTGCAGAGTAACCATCTTGTCTGGATATTGGAGTTTAGTCCATTTCAGAAATTTTGGTTTTATGTTCGTCTCATAGGTAGATTATGTGTACTGGCTGTGTTTGTGTGTGTGTGTGTGTGTGTGTGTGTGTGTGTGTGTATGTATATGTATGTATGTATGTATATAGACACCATTTTGTATTCAAAATGCAATTTTAACCTTCTTCATGGTTCTTCTGAGAGGTCGTCCTAATAATCTCTTGCAGATATATTTGACTGCGAGAGGGAAAATAAAGGTTAGGCGAGTTTGTAAAGTGTGATTAGCACAACAATGAGCTCCAGTATCAGTTTAGTGCTTATACTACTAAAATCATCAGTCTGCAAATTTGATTCCTGCAATGTGCATTATAGTGCTTTGCTCCAAACCTGGGACACTCTGGAGCAAGTAATATTCTTGAATTATCAGTTGTTCAAACCTTTGCTCTGGAATTGAGATTGCTTGAGCCAGTTTGGGCCAGTTCCATTGTTGAATTTGTTGTGAATGTAGTTTAAGGTGTTTTTTGGGGTTCCTTTTATATCGGGACCTTTGAAAATTTTGATGATAAAATTAGGTCAGTCAGGTTATTTTCTAATCCTGTTCTTGATTCCCCACCCCCAACCTTATTATCTCCCCTCCCTTCTTTAAAAGCAGTTTAACTCCCCTCCTAGGTAGTAATTGTTACTAATAGCAGTTTTGGGTTACTTTGCTTCTCTTTCCCCCATTGTAAGATTGAGATAAATTTTTTAAAATTTAGATTTAAATATATATATATATGTATGTGTGTGTGTGTGTGTGTGTGTGTGTGTGTATATATATATATATATATTTCCCCCCCTCCAAAATAAGAATGTTTATTTGTTTTTATGTTTGTTTTTGAAGAGTTTTAAATTGATTTTGAGAGAGAGAGAGGAGGTGAGAGGGAGAAATACCAGTGTGAAAACGTGAGAGGGAAACATGAATATCAGTTGCCTCTACACACCCTCTACTGGGGATCAAGCTCACAACCTGGTCATGTGCCCTGATGTGGAATCCAGCTGGCAACCTTTTGGTGTCCAGGATGACGCCCAACCAACTGATCTACACCGACCAGGGCTATTTTGTTGTTCATTTGTTTTTTAATATTTTTATTGGTTTCATAAAGGAAGTGAGGGGGGGAGGGAGGAGGGAAGGGAAGGAGGGGGAAGGGAAGGAGGGAGGGAGGGAGGGAGGGAGGGAGGGAGGGAGGGAGGGAGGGAGAGAGAGAGAGAGAGAGAGAGAGAGAGAGAGAGAGAGAGAGAGAGAGAAACATCAATGATGAGAGAGAATCATAGATCAACTGCCTTCTGCAACCCAGGCATGTGCCCTTGACTAGAGTTGAACTCGGAACCCTACAGTCCACAGGCTGATGCTCTGTTCACTGAGCCAAATCAGCTAGGGCTCTTTTGCTGTTTTTAAATGACTTTATAAGTAACTAGAGGCTCAATGCATGAAATTCGTTCCTTCCCCTGTTAATGCCACCACCACCAGCTTCCCTTCACAGCTCTGGCTTCCCTCTGCAGCCCCAGCTTCCTCAGGAGGGTTATCCAGAAGGATGTCAGGTCTAATTAGCATATTACACTTTTTTTTATTATAGATGTGTTCATGATAGAAAAATCAGAAAATTGACCCAAACAAAAAGGGAATAAAAATTCCCCTATATCCGAAACCCGTATGGCTCAGTGGATAGAGTGTTGGCCTGCGGACTGAAGGGTCCTGGGTTCAATTCTAGTCAAGGGCATGTACCTTGGTTGCGGGCACATCCCCAGTAGGAGGTGTGCAAGAGGCAGCTGATAGATGATTCTTTCTCATTGATGTTTCTCTCTATCCCTCTCTCTTCCTCTCTGTAAAAAATCAATAAAAATAAATAAATTAATAAAATAAATAAAGATATATTTAAAATATTAATAAAAAAATTCCTCTATAATATCACCACCCAAAGACACCTTACTGTTTTACTTACTAAATACCCTTCAGGTTTTGGTATAATTTTACACATCATTTTTTCACAAAATGGGATTGTATTGTATGTTTTGTAACTTTTTCGCATACAGTTTAACGGATTTTGAAACTTGAAAATAATTTTATTCTTACTTTGAATCCAGGATTTTATGGAAGACCTTGGATTATGGAACAGAGAAAAGAACTCTTTAGAAGGTAAATTTTTATTTTATGATGAAGAGTCTGAAATCATTAACATTTCCTTTTGTTTGAAGAAATACTAACAAGAAGCCAGATGCAATTTGATGATTTCTCAGTTGTAGAAGTTGATCTTTTACCTCTTCTAAACCTAAGCCATTGGTTTTCAAACTTCCCTGGGGAAACTGAATATATTTTGGGTTTCACCTGCCTCACTTGGAGTTGTTATGTTTTTAGTTAAGACTGTTTAGTATGCTGACATTTGTTGTAATATTTTTTACAATTCCACAAAAAGGTTAAAAGCTACAGTTCCAGAATATTATTAGCTTTTTAAGAGATGCTTCAACAAAAGGGAGGAAGATGAGATTTTTACAGCCTGTGCATGTGCCTGTTTATACATAATACAATTTTCTTTCCCCTCAAGGCTCCAGAAATGGGAATTAAATACATACTTGTATGCCCCAAAAGATGACTACAAACATAGGATGTTTTGGCGAGAGATGTATTCAGTGGAGGAAGCTGGTAATCTTTTTGTTTTTAATCCATAAATTCAGAATGTGTGAAGAAAACAGCTATATTTTTAATATAGTGGTATAAAAATTTTATTAAGTATTTTTTTCACTTTGTAGGTAGTTCTATTTGGTAACTACATGAGTTAGTGCAGATTGAAAGACTAGTGCTAACTGTGCGTAGCCATGGTGTGATTCATGGGGATGCTGGTCTGACTCCATCTGTTCTGTGGTCATAAATTGTACATTTTAACTTCTGCCAGTGGTCTACATAGTGGGCCACTGATGAAAGGGTGCCGAAGTAGGGGTAGGCCTGGAGCCAGGCAAATGAGGCACCCATCTTGGACACAAATTTTATAGGACTCAAAAAAAAAAAAATTGGGATAAGTAATATTTTATGCAACTTTAAACAAAGTTAATGCAAAAAAAAAAAAAATCCGCCAAAACCGGTTTGGCTCAGTGGATAGAGCGTCGGCCTGCGGACTAAAAGGTCCCGGGTTCGATTCCGGTCAAGGGCATGTGCCTTGGTTGCGGGCACGTCCCCAGTGGGGGGTGTGCAGGAGGCAGCTGATCGAGGGCGCTCTCTCATCAATGTTTCTAACTATCTCTCTCCCTTCCTCTCTGTACAAAATCAATAAAAAATATATTAAAAAAAAAAATCCATTAACAAAATACCAAAAATTTAAATAAAGATAGGACCAGTATTCTTGATCATTCTCCTTTAGGCTTAAGTATGTTTTGGTCTTGACTACTTGATTATTATTATTGGTCCAGTCTTTATTTAAAATAAAGACCTCACCAGAGTTCAGGCCTGTACTGAAGTGAAAAGCAATCTCTTAACTGTCCTTATATGTGTTTTTATGTTGAGTTAGTTAAATAAAATTGGTAAAGTATATCACAGAACCTTGTTGTAAATTAGACAAATGGTGCTTTAAAAAAAAAAAAAAAGAGAGAGAGAATGGCTTTGCTCTTTTTTAAAATACATTTTTATTGATTTCAGAGAAGAAGGGAGAGGGAGAGAGAGATAGAAACATCAATGATGAGAGAGAATCATTGATTGGCTGCCTCCTGCATATCATACAATGGGGATCGAGCCCACAACCTGGGAAGGTGCCCTTGGCCGAAATCAAACCCAGGACCCTTCTGTCCACAGGCCGACACTCTACCAACTGAGCAAAACTGGCTAGGGTGACAAATGGGGAAACGTTTTCATACTTGGAATTAAATGATGTACATACAGGATGTTTGGTTAGAGAGCCCAGCCAAGGCACCGAAGACAAAGTTTTCTTAAATTATGAAGAAGCAATTAAAACTTAATCCCATCTTCATCAAGTGTTTACTACTTTGTATAAGTGTCTTCAACTTAATTGTTTTTTGGAGATGCTGGTAATGAACTTTAATGTGATCCATAATCAAAATGTATTTTGAGATACCACTGAAACTTATTTAAAGATATATTCTGTGTTGTGCAATAGTTTTTCAGTTTATTTAGGAAAACTAGAACATTTTAAAAACTTAAAATCTGTAATGAATATTTTTCCTGTAGTTATAAAGATGAGGGGGCAGGATTGTTAAGGCCATCACTTAACCCTGGTTTTTAAAAAAAGCATTTTTTTTTGTTATATTGAACATAACAATTTTGTGAAATTAAATTTTTTGACTCATTGTAAATTGGAGAAATGACCTTTTCAATCGAAAGGTAAGGTTCTGTTAGTTTTCTGTGCTGCTTTCTAAAAACATGGACTCTGTTCTTTAGAACAACTTATGACTCTCATCTCTGCTGCGCGGGAATACGGGATAGAGTTCATCTACGCTATCTCACCTGGATTGGATATTACCTTTTCGAATCCCAAGGAAGTTTCTACATTGAAACGCAAACTTGACCAGGTAACTTCCTTAACTTTTTCATTCTTTTTCCCTGAATCAGTACCTGAAACTAAGTTTTCTGTGTTGCTTTTATGGTGTTAAAAGGAAACCAAATTTATACTTTTTGTTTCTGTATAGATTTTTTACTTGAATGCTTTTGATAGAAGGGTATTTTCTAAAGTTTACTGGAGGTATCAGTGCTTCTCAAACTTTATTTTGCATAAGTACTTTCTTAAAAGAATGCTTATAAGTGATTTTTAAATATAACTATTAAGTATATGCTTTAATTTTGGAATTCTATACTTTTTACTCTAAGATGAGCTAGTAAGGCTTCTTGTTTTTTTCTTTCCCTAGGTTTCTCAGTTTGGGTGCAGGTCATTTGCCTTGCTTTTTGATGATATTGACCATAACATGTGTGCAGCAGATAAAGAGGTATTCAGTTCTTTCGCTCATGCTCAGGTCTCCATCACAAATGAAATTTATCAGTACCTAGGAGAGCCGGAAACTTTCCTCTTCTGTCCCACAGGTATTGTATACAATAGCTTTATACTTAGTCTTGAAATACATACCTTTCCAAGGACCATGTTTGGGCTTTATTGTGCTGTACCCTCTCTCTTGGGTGTATGAAGATAGAAATTTTTTTTCTAGAAGATACTTCTCAAGGTCTTAAACTAAGACCTAATAAATGATAACTGAATAGGCAAAAGATTTTATGTATTTTTAGTACTGGAAGTACAGTAGTCCCCTGTTATCCATATTTTTGATTTCTGCAGTTTCAGTTACTCATGGTCAACCACGGTTGGAAAATATTACACGTTACCTGCCTACTAGTCATTTAGCCGTTTGGTTGTCAGATTGACTGTTAAGGAATTGTGCTTGTGGTCAGGTAATCCTTATTTTACTTAATAATGATCCCAAAGCACAAGAGTATTGATGCTGGCAGTTCAGATATGCCAAAGAGAAGCGGTAAGGTGCTTCCATTAAGTTAAAAGGCGAGTACAGCCAAAACCGGTTTGGCTTAGTGGAAAGAGCGTCGGCCTGCGGACTGAAAGGTCCCGGGTTCGATTCCGGTCAAGGGCATGTACTTTGGTTGCGGGCACATCCCCAGTGGGGGCTATGCAAGAGGCAGCTGATTGATGATTCTCTCTCATCGATGTTTCTAACTCTCTATCCCTCTCTCTTCCTCTCTGTAAAAAATCAATAAAATATATTTAAGAAAAAGAAAAAGGCGAGTACAACACAATAAGAGAGACCACATTCACAGTGCAATATATTGGTATAATTGTTCTATTTTGTTATTAGTTGTTAATCTCTTACTGTGCCTAATTTATAAATTAAACTTTATCATAGGTTTGTATGTGTAGGAAAAAACATAGTATATATAGGGTTCAGTACCACCTGAAGTTTTAGGCATCCACTGGGGTCTTGGAATGTAGCCCAAGCAGACAAAGGAGAGCTACTGTATATGGACATTACATTTTCAGGATTTCTAGTATCAAAATGAAAATTAGAAAAAAAACACATTTACAAAGATTTTAATTTAGTCGTTTTTTATTTCTTCCTGCCTCTTCCTTCTTTTTGCCCATGTATCTCTGTCCTTTATCATTCCTCCCATTCCCAACGAGTCTCTTACTTTCAGAAGTCAGCATAGAAAGCTTAATAATTTTTTTCCCTTTTTCCTCCCCTCCTTCCTTTACTTGAAAATGTTTTCTTCCATTGAAAATGTTTTAGTCTCTTTTAATTGCCTCTCAAAATTCAGCTTAGAAGAAATTTTCCCAAGAATTAACTTCTTATTCAGGAAGAGAAAATAAGTTCCAAGAAATTTTAGACAATTTATTTAACTTTGTATGTCTGTCTTGAGTATTGTGAGCCAGTAACCTTATCTTGGTGGTCTGATACTACATGAGTACTCAAATAATGTTCAATAAGATTATACTGGAATTACTTAATTCACTATAAATTGTAATTTAGTTGCAGTTGAGTACTAATATCCATGACCATAATGTTGCATTCTTTGTTAATCCATTCAGTCTATTTGGCCTCTGATTGTAACTCAAAAAATGGAGACAAGTCAGAATTATGTAGAAAATGCTAAAGTCTTAAATTATTTCTGCAGTAAACTTCTGTGATCATAGGATTGATCTGTACTCAAATATTGAAGGGAGAATATTAGGTTTTGTGAATTGACTTTAAAAAAATGAATTTATTCTTAAATGAACTTTCCATTTGCATTTCCTTTGGGGCACGACATGGAGGCCTTTATCATATGGATGAAAAGAATTTAGTATTAGTAGACATATTTTTTCCATTTAAAAACTCATGACCATTTCATTCCTAACTATTTTATGTTCCCCCTACATTTCAGAATATTGTGGCACTTTCTGTTATCCAAATGTGTCTCAGTCTCCTTATTTAAGGACTGTGGGTGAAAAGCTTCTGCCTGGAATTGAGGTGCTTTGGACAGGTAAGTCTTTAAGATTTATACCGTGATACTTGAATTAACTAGAACCTAGAGAAGTTGGTTGTTCTGGTTAATTGGATACTTTAAAAAAAATTATTTATTGTTGAAAGGATTACATATGTGTCTCCCCCTCCCACCCCCCATTGTCCTCTCCCAGCCTGCCCCCAGCCCCAGCCTTTACTCCTCCTCTCCCCCTAATTGGATACTTCTTAAAAAACTGAGCCTTAATCAGAAAACTTTGTTATTAAAATTCTCTTTTACAAAGTATTCACTCTTCACTTAGTATAAGAAACATCTGTGATAAATAATACTGATAAATAATAGATCTATAGGAACTGGGCTAACGGGTGTTGATCTCAGCCCTAGGAGATTGTTTTGTTACATAAAATGAAAGCTGGCATACTTGATTGATAGCTAGTAATCAGCAAGCTATATGAGCTTTCATTCTAAGAATTAAGGTCAGCCCTACCCGGTTTGGCTCAGTGGATAGAGCGTCAGCCTTCGGACTGAAAGGTCCCAGGTTTGATTCTGGTCAAGGGCATGTACCTTGGTTTCGGGCACGTCCCAGTGGGAGGTGTGCAAGAGGCAGCTGATCGGTGTTTCTCTTTCATTGATGTTTCTAACGCTCTATTCTTTCTCCTTCCTCTCTGTAAAAAAAAGAAAATATATATTTTTAAAAAAAGGTCAGAAACCCCCCCAGTGTTTAGATTAATTGGGCTCTAATTAAGGATATACTATGTTACATTGGAAAAAGAAATTGTTTACATAAAAAACTTTCTTACTAGCATATCAGTTTGAGGAAGCTTGCCCAAACCTTAAATTTTCATACTTTTTGACTGATTCTGTTTCTAGGAATCTGGAGAAATATTGAGGTGGGAAGGTGAATAAAACTGAGTAAAAAGACATGTTGCTGCATTATTTTACAAAGAAAAATAGCCCTGGCTGGGTAGATAAATTGGTTAGAGTGTTGCAGGTTCAATCTCTGGTCAGGGCACATACAAGACACAACCAATGAAAGTAATAAATAAATCGAACAACAAATTGATATTTCTTTCTCAAATCAATTTAAAAAAGAAAAGTTGTTAAAAAGTATCCATATAACAAAGAAAACACAGTTAAATATTGTATGCGGTATATTTTGAAGAACCATGGGTGAGGGTTTTTTAATAAAACGTCATTATTTCTAGGTCCCAAAGTTGTTTCTAAAGAAATTCCAGTAGAGTCCATTGAAGAGGTTTCTAAGATTATTAAGAGAGCTCCGGTAATCTGGGATAACATTCATGCTAATGATTATGATCAGAAGAGACTATTTCTGGGCCCATACAAAGGAAGATCCACAGAACTCATCCCACGGTTAAAAGGAGTCCTGACTAATCCAAATTGTGAATTTGAAGCCAACTATGTTGCTATCCATACCCTTGCCACCTGGTACAAATCAAACATGAATGGAGTGAGAAAAGATGTAGTGATGAGTAAGTATACCACTTAACCCTTGACCTTGGGAGAAGAGCTGGGTTAACTAGAGACATTGGCAAATAAGTGTTCATTTGTTGTCACAGTTTGATATTTTTTTAAAGGTATGTTACTTAGTTCTATGAATAAGATGTGTACATATATGGTAGAAGAAGGGTTGAATGGCTTTGGACAAGTTACCTAAGAACCTTTTGGCCTCGGGTTTTTGTTTTTAAAATGTCACTTAACCTTTGACTACTCTAACTAGTCTATTACTGTTATGCTATCCCTAGAATTCTGATTTATTGTAGTTTATGTTTTTAGGTAACTTTATTAATGGGATATTTTAGATGACTAGATATTCTTATCTGAATTACTTTAGATTCAACTTAATGAACCTATTCTCATTTTTTAAATGTTGGCTTACTGATTTTTTATTTATGAAAAAAAATTCCTAATTGATTTGCAAGTAAGAGAATGCTGATAATTATTTATTAACTTTTTTTTTTCCTGGGGAGAGGAGACACTTTATTGTTTCTCGTGGTCTCAGGAGGCCTCTGGTTGGGCTGGGTCACTGGTTTCCCCCAAAAAGATGCTACTCAATGGCTATGTCCCCCACCAAGGACAGAAACTCTGAAATCTGGACAGGCCTTCCTTCTTGTCCTTTTCCTCAAAGATAGACGACATGTCTGTGTCACAAGTAACACCTGACAGGCAGTGGATCATCTTTTTTTGTTACTTGGAGGGTCATTAACATTTAAATATCTATTGTGTGGTAAGTGTATCTTACCAACACTAAGGGTACAAAAATAAAGTATTCCCTAATGTTGAAAAACATAGTCTGGTATTGTAGAAAGTATATTGGCAACTGTACTTATAATATGGCAGGAGCTGAGATAATTACCTACAAAGTGCTGTAGGAACACGGGGAGGAAGCGATTATTTCTGATAAGCAAATTTGGTGGTAAAAAACAGTGTAATAGAGAAGGGATACTTAAACTATGTCAAAGTATGAGTAGTTTGTTGGACATTGGTGGAAACACTGGACACTGAACATTCAAAGTTATTTGAATTTTGGCTCATTTGGGGGTATTGAAACGTCACATTGTGATGCTTGGTGGTAGGTAGTTGTATAGTGTGTGCTGTTTTTTTAATTGGGGTGACAGTGGTTAAAAAGATCATAAAAATTTCATGTGTACATTTCAATGATACGTGATCTGTATATTGCATTGAGTTTCCACCACCCACAGTCAAATCATCTTGTTATATTTGGAATATAATTCTATACCCCTGCTTCCAGTTCTGTTTGTTGAATTAATGCCTCCCTTTATAGCTCGGTCATTGTTACCCTCCTTCTTCTCCCCTCCCCCCCAACCCTACAAAATTAGGATATAATCTCCATTCCCTCTGTATTCATGGCACTTAGCTCCTATTTCTTCTAAGGCAGGGCATGAAGCATGTTGAGAAGTAGTAGACATTAGCCAATCTGGGCCATGTAAGGGAAAAGAGAATAGCTAAGAATAGAGGGTTTTGAATACCAACCCAGAGTTCATACTTAATTTTCTCCACCACTTTCCTGGTTCAGAGCTTTCTTATTTGCTTATTATTTGTGCTCATATGTGGACTCTCTAATCACTTGTACACCCCCCCCCCCCAAATGCACTTAGTTTGCCCATTATTTTTTCATAATTATTTACCCATTAAGTTATAAGCCCCTGAAGGGTAGGGAATGCTCTCTTTATGAAAAGAATAGTGCCTTTAACTTAGCATTCCCAGTAATTGGTACTCGGGCATTTATGAATGACTTTTCCAGTAATTCTAAAATTATTGTTTTTTTTTAAATTTCAATTGGGATTTTACATTTAGCGATACATTTATAGGACTTTTAGGTCCTATACTAATTCAGCATAAATATTGTTCGGTGAAGGTCTTGCACTTCTATGTTAAGGTTTGTTGTTTTGGTTCTTTGCTTTTCTGGTTATACTCTAACAATTTGTCCCCCTTGTCAGGAGGCTTTTGTAATCAGAACTGTTTTGTTTTGTTTTTTTGCAGCTGACAGTGAAGACAGTACTGTATCAATCCAAATAAAGTTAGAAAATGAAGGCAGTGATGAAGATATTGAAACTGATGTACTTTATAGTCCACAGATGGCTCTAAAGTTAGCTTTAACAGAATGGTTGCAGGATTTTGGAGTACCTCATCAGTACAGCAGTGAGTTTTGGGCCATTTTTTGTAATGGGGTTGGATCACATGGTTGAGTCAAAAAATAAAGAACATTTGGGATGTGCCTTGCCATAGGCCCACCAGGCAAAATGATTAGGGCTCTAGAGAAGAGTAAAGTTTTTAAGTCATGGTTGTAAATAGTTATCTTGTTAGAATGCTAATTTGTTTTAAAAATATTTATTTTGAGATACTTATTTAACTGTTTTTAAATGCAGATCTTCAAAAGAGGATAATAGGTATTGGCATATTTAGGAATGTTTATCATCTGTTTCTTCTTTCTCCACTTCCCTGGTGATTTTAGACTTTACTCAGGGTTTACATTATTTGGAAACTCAAACTGAAGTTCCAGTTACAGATATGATAAGAAAATGTCTGATCTAATTTGTTCCGTTTCTAATTTTGGTTATTTTTGTGACAATTTGTTTTTGTAGGTAGGCAAGTTGCACATAGTGGAGCTAAATCAAGTGTAGTTGATGGGACTCCCCTAGTTACATCGCCTTCTTTAAATTCCACAACTGTAGTTACAACGGTTTACCAGGAGCCCATTATGAGTCAGGGAGCAGCCTTGAGTAGTGAACCGACAGTTCTGACCAAGGAAGAAGAAAAGAAACAGTCAGATGAGGAACCCATGGACATGGTAGTGGAAAAACAAGAAGAAACAGACCATAAGAATGACAATCAAATATTAACAGAAATTGTAGAAGCTAAAATGGCAGAGGAATTGAAACCAATGGACACTGATAAAGAGAGCATAGCTGAATCAAAATCCCCAGAGATGTCTATGCAGGAAGATTGCATCAGTGATATTGCCCCTATGCAGACTGATGAACAGATAAACAAGGAGCAGTTTGTGCCAGCTCCAAATGAAAAGCCTTTGTACACTGTAGAGCCAGTGACTCTGGAGGATTTGCAGTTACTTGCTGATCTGTTCTACTTACCTTATGAGCATGGACCCAAAGGAGCACAGATGTTACGTGAGTTCCAGTGGCTTCGAGCAAACAGCAGTGTTGTCAGTGTCAATTGTAAAGGAAAGGACTCAGAAAAAGTGAGTATATTTATTTATTTGCTTCTCTAGCCTGGATAGGTCCCATGTTGATGATATGGAGGAGGTATTAAAATGAGTACACTGGTAACTGGCAGAAAATTGACCAGATCTTAAAATATATTCTATAAAGTGGATGTGCACTCTACCAGATCTGGTACATAGAGTTCTATAGTTTGACCTTACAGTTAAGAATGAAGGAAAGTCAAAGTTGATTATTTTAGGAATATTTGTCAGTTTGAGTTAACACACACTTATATTGATGTCTAAAGAATTTAAGCAGGCACCTGATAGCAAACAGCTTAATTTAGAACTGTTTTAGATTATTTTTATTAAGCTTGCAAATTTTTGAGTCTTTTTATTGATTCTCAATAGATTGAAGAATGGCGGTCACGGGCAGCCAAGTTTGAAGAAATGTGTGGACTAGTGATGGGAATGTTCACTCGGCTTTCCAATTGTGCCAACAGGACAATCCTTTATGACATGTACTCCTACGTTTGGGACATCAAGAGTATAATGTCTATGGTGAAGTCTTTTGTACAGTGGTTAGGTAGGTGCACCAGGAATAATCTCTTCCCAGACATATTGTCCCTTACAGAAAAAAAGACATTATCCCACAGGAGAAAAACATTTAGGGAATTTGCAAATTTCCAACTCTTTAAATTCTTTGCCTAGAATTTTTCAAACGTGTAGCCATTGTCGCATACTTGAGGTACAAGTCTCAGTAAATACATTGAATATATTGATTTTTCTCCCTTGGGTTAATTCAGCATAAATATTGTGTTAGACAGTACTGACTTTAACTTACTCTGACTGAATGCTTCCTGGATGGGACCCTTTTATCCCACTTTTGTCTGATTTGGAGATGAGACACTATGAATTGTGGCTCTGTAAGCTCTCTGCTGCTTGCTGTGTCTTGATAACCTTAATGCCCTTTAACAGAACAATTGCCGAAATGACCTAAGGGGCCTGGCAAGAGGAAGCCATCCTCCCAGCCCTGTGCGCATGCGAGCTTTAGTAGTGGGCTATTCTGGTGCTACTTAGTATTGCCTCACATGGCCTTTTCTTTATCTCTACCAAGTAATTGGTTTTAGCAGGGGATGGAAGTTACAGCCCCCTAAGAAATCTGTCCATTAAATGGACTTCTTATGTCTCTCTCTTTTTTTTTTTAATGTTAAAACTTGGTAAAAAGCACCAGCATGGCCAAATTTCTCCAGAGACCTCATTTCATTTCCAGGTTATCATTCCAGCAGTAAGGAATATGTAATGGACTTACAATGCAGCACGCAGCAGGCAGCAAGGCTAACTGATATGTCATAGTTTTCATAGTAGTCACAAATACAATGATGGGTTACATGGTCTTGGTTATGAAGAAGATGTGTGAAATATTGTGAGCTTAGATTAACTAAGGAGTAGTGGCAATGAGATTTCTCACTTTTTACCTATATACTTGGGGTTCTTAAATATTAAAAAATAAGTTTCCTGTTACACAATTAGGAGCTAAAATTAGTCTCTGATTGTTAATTGTTAATTTGAAAATATAGGACATATAGCACATACATATAGCAGAACAGGTAGAAGAGAGAATTTTTACCTTTTGTTAAAAGGCTCCAAGAGATACCTCTTTTCTGTGGTAGATTTCTGCTCTTTGGCTCAGGTGAAACCTCTATGTTGGTTGTTGGATGCAATAATTGCCTTCCAGGCTTCTGGCCTGAGGGTTATAATTAACCCTTGTAGGGTTTTAAATATTAAATTTCTACTCTGAAATCTGGATTATTGAGCTTGAGAAAGTATCTCTTAAAACATTTGATATTCAGCTTTTAATTCAAGAATTAATAAAAATTAAATTCTTGATTATATAGATATTGTGTTGTTTCCTCTCAGGCTTTCCCTCTGTTTTGTGCAATGATGGTGTAGCTTTCTCAAGTTATATAGATAGCTGTTGTACAATCTCAAGCTCAGAGCACCTTAGAAGTTTTAAATGATTATCTTTGAAAAGCTTACTAAAAGCTCACAACAAAGAGAGTATTTTCATGGTTCTGTAGTAATTTCAGGGAATTACCAATTAGAACCCTTTGTTTTCCTCCTCTCTCCAATCCAGCTGGCATTCAGTCCTTTAAAGAATGTGGCTGTGCAGTACTTTTGATTACTAACGACTTCTATTATCTTCTTCCCCATTGTGTACAGATGGGAGAATCCTCAGCACAAGTGTCTACTACTAATGGATGGACAGCGGCAGATGTTCACAGCGCGTCCTGATTAATTAGTTTAAATTGAAAGGTTCTATCTGTGAGGTAGCTCAGGTAGATTTAAGGGCAGTAGATATGCACTGAAGTCACGTTTGCGCAGCGACTGAGGCATTAACCATGTTTTTATTTACACAGCTCTTCGTACATGCAGCTTTTTATTGTGATAGTTGGAAGTGCTAGTTACATTGTAGTCTCAAAGTGGGGGGCAGGGGAAATTGGCTTATCTTAAAGTTTGAGAGCTATAGTTTTTCCTGCAGTGTATATTTACACTGAGCTATGGAATGGGGCAAGTTCTCTTCATAGCCTAAAAATTTTTACCCTATTCGTATTTACTTTACAAATATTACATTATATGTTCTTTTTAAAAATACCCCTACCCCTACAAAACGACAAACCTCGATATAATAATTTATTAATGGGCCTGAATTGTCAACAACAAAAAAAAAATTGGTTTGCTTTGGGACTGTCTGACTAGCACATTATACCTTGTACTGATGATGAGACTGTTAACTTGAACAGGAGGTAGAATGCTGTCTTCAAATGGAAAAGACCTATGTTGCGCTGCTTATCTTGTCAGAAGACTAGGCAGATGATTTTGATTTGGCCTCCCCATATTTGCCTTTAATTATTTCTATTGTTAGCTGCCTTTATTGCATGTGAATATGAAGGTGATTAAATGATAAACCTTAATGCTGACTTCTGGACCCCAAAGCCTGCTACTTCAAGCATCTATTCAGTGCACTGCCAAGATTATAATGGCCAATCAGAGGAGCCAGATATTGTCATACTTTTAAGAAAAGTACAATATATCTTAGCTCTGGACAAATTGGGAGCATCAGTTGGCTCTTTTTAGTTCGCAGTTTCTGTCAGGCTGGTATTATTACTACCCAGTTTGAATCTGAATTGTCCTTGTTAGAAAAAATATATTGTTCTCGTGGCCAACTTATGGACAATTTCTTTTATTCTGTTGAATTTAGTCTTCTGACAAGATTAACCCTTTTTCTCCCCTTTTCCCCTTTCCTGTACCCTTCCTCAAAATGTGACTTCAGACAGGTTTAATTCCTTCATAGGCTGTGATAATAAAATGTCTCATTCATTTCACTTTATACAATAGTTACTGTAATTTTACTACAGAGCAAGCAGCAGACTTGAACAGGAGGTAGAATGCTGTCTTGATTTTTATGGTCATTTCTAGACAATATATAAACTCGACCCAGACAAATTTGACACTTGCTTCCCTTCCAAAAATTAAAGATAGAACTCTTAACATTGATTATTAACCAGAGGAAAAACATTAGTATTGAAATTTTATTATGAATTAAAAAAAATTATCACAGCCTTGTCCTGAAACCCTGGATTATTATTTTTAGAGAGCTATTTCCACAAAGTGTTTGTTTGTTGGACGTTTGAGACCTCAGGAAATCCCCTTTCTCGTAACATTCTCCGCTTGGATCTGATCTCAACAGGGTGTCGTAGTCATTCTTCAGCACAGTTCTTAATTGGAGACCAAGAACCCTGGGCCTTTAGAGGCGGTCTAGCAGGAGAGTTCCAGGTATCAATATGAATTCACAACTGAATTGACATTTTCTTTGTTTTATGAGAAACCTTATGTTGCGCATCAGATGGCTGGAAGGATTGGTCTGCCGAAGGCTTTCTAGTCCCAAATTCAATTTAGTTACATAGCTGGATTTTAAATCAAATTTTCCTCCTCTTTCACAGTAATTTCTGAAGGAGATGCTGCCAATTCCCCCCGCGCCTGCGAAGCGCAGCGGCTCTAGGTACACTTCACATTGTTTCTTTGCAGGTCGCACAGCATTTTAATCTGCGCCCGCAATGCACAATGCGCGCATGCTTGTCTGCCAGTGGAAACTCCATGAGCAAAAAGGATGAATAATTATCCAAATGATGGTGAAAGAGCTTATGGATACTGTCACAATTATCTTATAAATAAAACACTTGAAAGAACAGTGTTAGTGAAAATATGAACGAAATATGAAGCGTTTTTGCTATTAGAATTTGTTCATGGACTTTTCAGGTGCTCTACTTTTCTCCCCCCAACAGGTGCTCTGCTGCGCACAGCAAACTGAAGCGCATTGCTTTGGGGATAAAGCGTCTCCTGGACAGATAACCCTCTTCAGACCAAACCTCTCCTTCTGACATTCTGTTCTGCCATCTTTTAGTAGAAAGATGGTCTATATGAGATTTAAAAAAAGAAAGAAATTTGTCATAATTGGAATGGATTTTTTTTTTTTTTACTGTAAATTTAAATCCCTATTAATAAGCCACTAAAACTATGTAATTCAGTTAGGGTAATTTCTATTCAGAAGCACTTCCCTCCCCCAGTAAAGAAGTGTTTATTTTAGTAAAATATAGTACACCCCTCATCTTTAGGTCTGCCTGCAGTAGCCAGTTAATATTAAGTTGGTAGTCTGCAGTGTACACTCATGTAAAAAAATGAATATCTTGCCAACACTAATCCATCTTTTTTTTCCCTCCCACAGCGTTTGCTGCCAATTGATGGGGCAAATGATCTCTTTTTTCAACCACCCCCTCTGACTCCTACCTCCAAAGTTTATACTATCAGACCATATTTTCCTAAAGATGAGGTAATTGTCTGTCTACCAGCCTGGTGTATGGTTATGGTGCTTATTCCTATTTTTCTTTTGAACTCCTGGTTAAAAGAATTAGTTCTGTCTTAAAACATGAACTTTAGATAGAGTTAACTAAACATTGATCATGGACGAGGGGATATATTTAAGGAAGAACCTAAAAGTTCATTATCTTGTGCTAAGGTCTTTAATTCCTCCCTTAAAAAAAACTAGATGAAATGTATTCAAAGTTGAAATTACTGACCAGTCCAAATTGTCTAAATGATATGTTGTCTTGACTGATTTTCTCCAATGTATTAGTATTCTATAATTTTCAGTTGGGAATTGCCTACAGGCTAGTGACAGTCAGCTACAGAGAAAAGAAAGCCTGTTTAAAGACAATAACATATCCTGGAAAACAGACAATTGATAGTTTGCTGGATTTGAATCCACTACTTACTGCCTATATACACCCTCTGCAAAGCACTTTGTAATGTTTACTATAACCATGCTACTTTCTACTGGTTTTACAACTATGATTCAGTGAGTAAACCTTTATTTAAAACAGCAAAGGTTGATAATTATGACAGGCCAGGCATTTTGTTATCTCCTGTCCTAGAAGTACAGTCTGACTTATAAATCACATTAAGTTATGTTGTCAATTTTTCTTGATGTGTTAGTTAACTAGATTGTATTTTCAGGCTTCCGTGTACAAGATTTGCAGAGAAATGTATGACGATGGAGTGGGTTTACCTTTTCAAAGTCAGCCTGACCTTATTGGAGACAAGTATGTGATGAAGTATTTGGATTTGTTGGATTTGGGAAGTAGACATTTCAAAGCCTGATAAAGGTTGAGGGGAGGAGATGACTGGAAATAGTTTTTTAGAAATCTTAAATTTGAATATTAAGATGTGTGTATTTCCAGTTTTTTTCAGATACCAGGTATAGTTTCCATAGGTTGTCATTCAAATACTTGGGGCCTTAACATTACTGAAGTCTGTATTTTGTGTTAGTAACTTACAAACTCACTCTGGCCTTTTTTCTTCTGAGCAGGTTAGTGGGAGGGCTGCTTTCCCTCAGCCTGGATTATTGCTTTGTCCTAGAAGATGAAGATGGCATATGTGGTTATGCCCTGGGCACTGTAGACGTGACCCCCTTCATTAAAAAATGTAAAATTTCCTGGATTCCCTTCATGCAAGAGAAGTATACCAAGCCAAATGGTGACAAAGAACTCTCTGAGGCGGAGGTAATGCACAGGTTTAGAATTCCACTATAGTAATTTTTACTGAATAAGTACTTATTAAAAAGTAAGCATATACTTTAAAAAAAAAAAAAGTAGGTCCATCTTAAAATCTCAGTGCTTCCTGAATTTCTTATTGAAAAGAATCTTAGGGCTTATTCTTTTTTTTTAATATATAATATAGTTTATTGATTTTTTTACAGAGAGGAAGGGAGAGGGATAGAGAGTTAGAAATATCGATGAGAGAGAAACATCGATCAGCTGCTTCCTGCACACCCCCCATCAGGGATGTGCCCACAACCAAGATACATGCCCTTGACTGGAATCGAACCCTGGACCCTTCAGTTCACAGGCTGACGCTCTATCCATGGAGCCAAACCGATTAGGGCCTTAGGGCTTATTCTTAGCATGTTATTTTCTACGGTTCCTTCATCGTTAGGACTCTTTTTGATTTGGAAGCATAGTTCTAATACTTCCTTGGGTAAAAACACAGTATAAACAACTTTCCTGTTTTTCCCCCCCCCACCAAACTTAAGGATGTTCTCTGGGTACTCAGGACAAGTGTAGGACAACATTTGCTTGGTTATCAGGAAGCTAAGCTGGCTTTCTTAGTAAAGCTTTTCTCATTGTAATAAAACAATAGGGGTGAGCTTCTGGGAGTCTGCCTTCTGATAGGAGCACTTGTTATGTCTGTTTCAACTTCAGTGGATTTTTCCTCTAAAAAAAAAGTGTGCCCCACATTGGTCAATTAATGATTATTTTGGTTTATATATTGCATATATATTTAAAAAACAACCCACTATTTTACTTATATATCTATCCACAACTAGCTTTATTCACACATCACTTTGTAAAGATTTTAGAGAGAGAGAGAGAGAGAGAGAGAGACACCTTTTTGTCACATTTATGCATTCACTCTAGGGGCCCAGTGCACCTTGAAAGAAACTGTGGGCCTCGCCGGGACCGGTTTGGCTCAGTGGATAGAGCATCGGCCTGCGGACTGAAAGGTCCAGGGTTCGATTCTGGGCAAGGGCATGTACCTTGGCTGCGGGCACATCCCCAGTGGGGGGTTGTGCAAGAGGCAGATGATCGATGATTCTCTTTCATCGATGTTTCTAACTCTCTTTCCCTCTCTCTTCCTCTCTGTGAAAAATCAATAAGAAACTGGGGGCCTTGAGGCTGAGGTGGGCACGGGTGATTCTCGGCCCATCTTCTGTTCCCCTGACCCGCCCCTTCCACTGCAGCCCCCCACAACCATGTCCTGTCTGCCAGCAGTCCCACTCCCGCTGCCATGGTGCCACGTGCTGACAGCGCCAGCCCCACTTGTACCTGCTGATGGTGAGGAGCGATTGGGGCCAGAGCTGTCGGGGTACAAGTAGTTATAGGCTGGTTGGGAGTGGCATTGCTAAGGGATTTACTTTAAGAAATATATATATATTTTATTGATTTTGTATAGAGAGGAAGGGAGAGAGATAGAGAGTTAGAAACATCGATGAAAGAGAATCATCGATCATCTGCCTCTTGCACACCCCCTACTGGCGATATGCCCACAACCAAGGTACATGCCCTTGACCAGAATCGAACCCGGGACCCTTCAGTCCCCAAGCCGACGCTCTATCCATTGAGCCAAACCGGTTTCGGCAAAGGGATTTACTTTAAAAAGTGGTGGCTGCTGCCCAGGAGCAGGGGGAGGTGGAGAAGCCCTGAGGCGATTGGGGCTGGCAGCCATTGCTCACACCCACTGATATCACTGAGCAATAGCGGCTGGTGCCAGGCACTGGCAGTGGGTACCAGTGGGGCTGGCACCAGCCCCAGCAGTAGTTATGAGTGCTGGGCGGCATTATGGTGCACGGGAGCAATGAATTTTCAATAACCAATAGAGGCTCGCCCCAATAACAGAATAGAGCCCTGCCTTGGTCTGGCGCCCCACTCACCTGTTCCAGCATCCTGTCGTGGCTGATGCCTACCGTGTTAAACGCATGACCCCTCATGGTCAGCGTACATCATAGTGACTGGTTGTTCTGCTGTTTGGTCTATTTGCATATTAGGGTTTATATAAAGAAATTGTTTGGTTATTGTAGGTGCCCTGATTGGGGATCAAACCTGTAACCTTGGCATATCAGAACGATGCTCTAATCAGCTTAGCTATCTGGCCAGGGCCAGCACATGCATTTTTATTGTTTGAAATATCACTCGATATTTTTCCATTGATCTTTTAGAGATAGTGAAAGAGAGAAGGAAAGATGGAGAGAGACATTGATGTGAGAGAAACACATCAATTGGTTACCTCCTGCACTTGCCCTGACCAGGGCCCTGGCTGGGGAAGAGCCTGCAACCAAGCTATGTGCTTCCGACCAGAATTGAGCCCAGGACCCTTTGGTCTGCAGACTGATGCTTTATCACTGAGCCAAACCGGCTTGGGCAACACATGCATTTTAAAAAATGGTTCCTTCTTAGGATAACTTCTTACGTTCAATAAATACTTTCAGGAATATATTGGACTCTTAGTTTGCTCCTCCTTTCTGAAACTCTCCCTATACCAGTGTACTCACATTCTCTCTCTAGTTTTATTATTATTTTTTATCTTCTTCTCCTAGCCAGGTGGCTTTGTAATGGCATCACTAAGGGATTGCATTGACACTGACTGCAGAATGCTGGTGACTGAACTGTTGATGTGTTGCTGCTCCATATCTGACAATTACTGTTTCCAGCATAGGAACATAAAAAGAATGACCATATAAAATGTGTCTATTAATAAACTTTCTTTAAAAAGTGGTAAAATGTAGCCTTGCTGGTTTTGGCTCAGTGGGTACAGTGTTGGCCTGCAGACTAAAGGGTCACAGTTTCGTTTCCTGGTCAGGGCACATGCCCAGGCTGCAGGCTCCATCCCCAGTGAGGATGTGCATGAGGCAGTTGATCAATGGTTATCTCTCACCATTGATGTTTTTGTCTCTCCCTCTCCCTTCCTCTCTGAAATCAATTAAAAAAAAAAAAAGATATATATGTAAATATATATATATTTTTAAGTGATAAAATTTACATTACATAAAAGTTAACATCCTAACCATTTTTAAGTATACAGTTCAGTGTTAAGCATATTCATATTTTTTATGAAAACCAGACAAATTAAAATTTTATTTGGTTTTGGTCAATGGTTAGAGCATTGGTCCATGGGTTGAAGAAGGGATGCAGATTTGATTCTGGTCAAGGGCATATACCTCGGTTGCAAGCTTGATCCCTGGTCCATGTTGGGGCACGTGTGGGAAGCAAGCAACCAATCAATGTCTCTCTCACATAGATGTTCTCTCTCTACCCCTCCCTTCCACACTCTTAAAAATCAATGGGAAAAATATCTTCTGGTGAGGATTAACAACAACAACAACAAATTTGTTTTGAATAATTTTGAATTTAAAGGAGTTACAGAGATAACACAGAGTTCCTTTATGTACTTTAAAATATATTTTTATTGATATCAAAGTGGAAGGGGGAGAGAGACACATCAGTGATGAGAATCATTGATTGCCTTGTGCATACCCCTACTGGGAGACTGAACCTGCAATCTGGGCATGTGCCCTGACCCAGAATGGAATGGTGGCCTTCCGGTTCATAGGTCTATGCTCAACCATTCAGCCATGCTGGCAGGACTACGGAGTTCCTTTATATCGCTCACTCATTTTCTACATTTGTCCAAGTCTACCAACTTAGGTACATTACTATAAATTTCACTACTCAACAGTTTTCCCACTAAAGTCCACTTTCTGTTCCAAGATCCTAAATATAGCATATACTATATTTAGAGTTTTAAAAAGTGAAAATGTTTTAGCTAGAACTGTAAGTTAGTTAATTCTCTATGTGATAATTATATGACTAGAGGAGTTATTGAATATTATTTCCCTTCCTGTTATTGAGTTCTATAGTTGGGATATAAATATAGAATGAGTGGATACTGAAAATCAAAACAGATTCTAATTTTTAGAAAATTCTAATTTTTAGAAAATAATGTTGAGTTTCCATGAAGAGCAGGAAGTGTTGCCAGAAACTTTCCTTGCCAACTTCCCTTCTCTGATAAAGGTGGATATTCATAAAAAAGTAACTGACCCAAGTGTAGCCAAAAGCATGATGGCTTGCCTCCTATCTTCACTGAAGGCTAATGGTGAGTACATATTTGTGGAGTTGCTGGTGTTTGGGTTAGGTGGGGATAGGACTATGTTTTAGGTTAAAAAGAAGTGAATTATAGTGAATGTACATTCCCTTCTCCACCATTTATGATTTGGCTTCTGAATTATTGTGCAAGAATTGCTTGAGTATTAATCATTGAAAAATGCTTCTCTTTTACACAATGAATGCTTATTTTGAGCCTCAAGTAAATGAGAAGTGAACACATGAGGATATATTTATTTTGCCAGAGACTCATAAATGATAGTTGAAAATTAAATGAACTTTGGGGAGAAATTTCATTTAGGAATACAGACACCCGTTTCCTTCAAACTTGGCTAAACTCAACCTTCAAAAATATGTGGCTTTACATAAGTATGAAGTCTTTTTCTGTGAAGAGCCAGTTAATAAGTATGCTAGGCTTTAAGGTCCGCATATGGTTTATGTTGTAGTGTTTTTTAAACAGCCTTTTTAAATAGTAAAAAAAACTTAACTGTAATCTTTGGGCAATATAAAAGCGGGCAGCTCATTAGAGGGTGGTTGATACATTGAGAATGCACCTGTTGCATTTTTGTATCATTTGAGTCAGTGTTTTCCCTTTGTGGGATAATTTAAACAACCCTGCATACTTCTTAGTGTTGTGCTTAGAACTTAATATTAAAACATCAAGCAGAGGTAACCTTTTTTTTTTTTTAAATATATTGATTTTTGTACAGAGTGGAAGGGGGAGAGAAAGAGAGTTAGAAACATCGATGAGAGAGGGTCATTGATCAGCCGCCCCTTGCACACCCCCTACTGGGGATATGCCCTCAAAGAGGTAACCTTTGCTTTAAGGTCTCTTACGACCTCTTCCCCAAAAGGTTTTCTTTCTGGAGAAGAGTTGCACTTACAGTTGAATTTTTTCAATTGAGGTATATTTGGCAGTTAAGAATTGTATATATTTATTGTACAACTTGATGATTGGAAATACATTTTGAAATAACCACATCCAAGCTAGTTAACATATTCATTTAAGATAGTTATTACTATAGTATTTAATAATCATTATTAATATTCATTTAGTATTAATACAAATTTAAAAAATTGTAGACTAATAATAGATAAGTTCCCACTATGATTTGTTTGAAATATATTAAAAGAGTAGTCAATTTATATCTGTAATTCTACTAATTAATGTATTTTGATTATTTGTTTTATTTCTAGGCTCCCGAGGGGCTTTCTGTGAAGTGAGACCAGATGATAAAAGAATTCTGGAATTTTACAGCAAGTTAGGCTGTTTTGAAATTGCAAAAATGGAAGGATTTCCAAAGGATGTGGTTATACTTGGTCGAAGCCTGTGACATTTGGCACTATGAACTGTCCGAAAGTCTCTTAACTTCACCTGGTGGGTAGTGGTTGGGGTCTTTATACAGTTCAGCCTCTGGAGCGGCCACAGATGAGTCAATTGGGATTGGAAACAAAGAAGACTATGTAAAACTCATGCATCATATTTTGAGACTACTCACTGGTTAGAAGATAGTATTCAGCAAATCCTATAGGAAATAGATACGTGGGCCCCTTTTTGGGTCTTGTGTTAGGTGTCAAGTCCTCTTACATGGGCTTATAGGAAGGGGGTCTTCAATAAATGTAGTCAGCACTGTTTTCTGCATCCAATGTGGTTGCATTTTTCACCTTAGAGTAATCAAAATCATTTGTCATCCTCCTTGGCTTATTGAATGAAATGTCTCATTCTTTGGGGACATGGCAGAGATGAGAAAGATTTAGTGGATTTCAGAGCCTTCAGGGTGGAAATTCCAAGTGGGATGGTTGTGGCGTAGTATAAGCTGAATAAATGATTTCAATTTTGGGCAGTTATTCTGCTTTTTGTAAAGCCATGGCCAGTTGTCTCCGGTAGTGATGATTGGTTCAGGCGTGTTGTGCTTTGTAGGGACAAATGTGCATTTGTTTGTGGCAAAAGCCTAAAAATGACAAGCTTGTAAATTTTTTGTATATAAACTAGCTGTGATCTGCCTACCTTTGTGTTTACCGGTTTTGTTTCATTTTGAAAATGAAAGGTGTGATTCAGGATGGCACTTTGAATAATATAAGTCAGTGGAAAGTGACTTTTTTGCCTTTGGTTGGTTTAGGCTTCTTTTTTTTTTTTTGGAAGTTTTATTTTTAAAGTGCCTCTCACCTAAGCTAGGCCACAACCACTTTGGGTATGAGAGCCTAACTTCATAGGACTCAATCTGTGCAAGTGCAGTCACTTCTAGAAATTAGCCTCAATACAGGTCAGCATGTGTGATGTTAGTTTGACATCTGTCAAGTAGGGTTCAGGGACTGATCGGTCCCATTTGCCCCCAGATCAGTTGTCCTTTCATTTCAAGACCTGTTACTACTGGTTTTATTAAATCACAGCCTAATTCTTGCATGTTTGTATTGAATTTTTAAAAGAGACAAATAATGAGTATACTTTAATCAATGACTTAATGGTTAATTTTTCCTTTACAGATTCTGAGAGCTTCATGTATTTTAATTTAGATTTGGCGTATTTAAGGGTTCTGAGCATGAGGCTAGTAGGTAATTTCTGCAGGGTTCATTTTTTCATCATGACTGGCTGACTTCTTCATAGATTTATAACTGTTTTATTATCAGCTTCCCTGTAGTTTTGTATCAGATAATTAACTTTGAGCTGAGGGAAAGGGCAAGGAAAAGGAAACTTGAGACATACTTTTCTTCATAGGATTCCCTCAGGATGGGCTTTGAGAGCGTCTTCAACGGTGGTACCTAGAAGGGGTTCCACTAGTGACTTCCACCAAGGCCCGTGAGTGGCACTGAATAGGGGAGATGAAGGGAGGAAAGAAAGAAACCTCTAACTGATAGATATAGTAGGTTGGAAAGTTTGGACCACATTTGCATTTTCAAGGCTGAGGTATGAAAGGAGTATCTACAAGATTGGTTTAAACGGCTTAGTGTCATGGGCTTCTCTTTAAATATGTTTTCTACACTAGTGAATAATTGTGGCATTTTATCTGGAGCATTTCAGGGCCAACATCCTATGAATCAAGACTTTTAGTGTTCGCTTGTGGCTTTTTCTTGGCTTTTAATAACTGGCTAGTCGTCTGGTCACAAATGCTGAGAACCAGATGTTCATGCCTATACATTCATCACTCTAGGATTGTAAAATGCTATGCTACTTCTATGGTTATGAATATTTATTAAAGTTGGAATGACATTTCCTTGATTGTTTAGATCACAGCTCAGTTCTTGTAGAAAACGAACTGTAAATTATGTGAAGATCATGCAAGAGGCAAAATAAAACTTGAAGTGAATGTGTATGGTGGTGTACTGTGTAAACTTAATTTCTGTGTCCGCCTCGTATCTTTTCTCCTGCCCTTCATGTCTCACCTGCAAGCAAGTATTCCTCCTCCCTCTTCATAGCTCTTGAGGGCAGTCCTCTCCTCCTCCCATCTCCAATAAAAGACCTCCTTTCCGGTTTTCCCAAGGCAAGGCCAAAAATAAAAGTAGACTGGTTCTTGGCCTAGTCGCCCTTTTGTCAGTTTTAACTTCGGTTATATAACTTGGGAGCAAATTGTTTGACTTCCTGCTATTCAACAGGATAAGGAACATGCTTTTAGTGTGGTTCTTGATTAAACGGTGAAAGCTGGGAGAGTAGCCCAAAATATGAGCCCAGAAAGTAAGGTGGAAGGATGTTCTGGAATGATTTGGGAGGAGCTCGAACCAGGAGCAGGAGTTAGTCTTGCCAGCAGGCGCCAGCATCTGAAGCTCAATGAAGATAAGCCATCTGGATAGTAAGCTGCGAAGTCATTGGAGCTGGAAGCGAGTCTAGGAGAGAGTGATTTGGTACAAGATACCTGGGGTTAAATGCCACTTACGGCTACCCGACTCACTTGGAGCAAATGCAAATGGTGCATTTCCCTGTTTTTTTATAAGAAAAAATGCCTTGAAACACCTTTGCTGGGGGATTTGGGAAGGTTTCCATGTTTATAACCTAGTTTCCCTTTGAGGAAAGTTTACCCCGGGTTGGGAGAGATGGAGAGCACCGAGGTAGGAGCTGCCCGCAGGAAGCCTTGGTGGTAATGAGGGCGAAGGGGAACATTAATCTCAAATTCCCGCTTCCCTCATGCAGCTTCCCCCTTGCAGCCTCGGCCCGCCCCCTCCCCCCCTCCTTCGGAGCAGGCTGGGCGGGGTAGCTGGCCCATCGCTTCCGGCTCCCTCTCATTGGCCAGCGTCCCCTCGGTGGGCGGGGCGCCGCCGCTGGGTTCCCCGGTAAGTACGTGTCGGGGGCGGGGCTCCGGAGCGCCCTCGCAGCATGGCCGCCTCGTTAATGTTCTGGGGTCCGGAGAGCCGAGCCCGGGCCGGGGGTGTCGGCGGGCTGCGGGGCCCCGCTCCGGTCACTATGGACAGTTTTCTCTTCGGTATTGAGGAAGGAGGGGTGAGGGTCGTCCTGGGCGGGGTGAGGAAGGAATGCAGAGGGGTGCACGGCACGGGTGGGGGCGGAGGGGGCTTGCACGCGGCTGCTGGAGCGGAAGTGGGGGCCAGACCCCCGTCCAGGTGTGTGGGGCGGGCTCCGGGCCGAGCGCCAGGTGTTCCGGAGAAGTGGGCGTGTGAACGGTGGCCGGTCAGTCCACGGCCACACGTGGTAGAGTTTGGGGAAACGTCCCCTCTTTCCCCACAATCGTGCACACTCACACCCTGATCTCTTCCAGGCTGTGAGCTCTCCGGCCACACCCGCTCTTTCACTTTCAAGGTAGAGGAAGAGGATGATGCAGAGCACGTGCTGGCTTTGACCATGGTGAGGGGTGGGGAAGAGGGGTGGGGATGAATAGCTTGTCCTGAGCAGGCCACGGGTGGGCCTCTGCCTGTAGCCCGCCCCAAACTTTTCTTTTGTGGGAATCACCTCCTCTGCCCCACCCCCCAATGGCCTCCCGTGACCAGGTAATTCAGAGGGACCTCTGAGGTTGAGCAAATTCTAGGATAGATGCCTCCACTGTGTCGCCTGCTTAGGGAGACCCCAAAGTCTTGTGTACCCTTCCCAGCTCTGCCTCACCGAGGGGGCCAAAGATGAGTGTAATGTGGTAGAAGTTGTGGCCCGTAATCATGACCACCAGGAGATTGCAGTCCCCGTGGCCAACCTCAGGTTGTCCTGCCAACCCATGGTGAGTTCCCTGGCCATACCCGGGGAGGGGGAAGGGGGGAGGGGGGAGGGGGGAGGGGGAGGGGGGAGAGGAGAGGAGAGGGAGAGGAGAGAAGGATTGGGCTAGACCTTCATCCTTGTCTTTCTCCTAGCTCAGTTTGGATGACTTCCAGCTTCAGCCTCCTGTAACCTTCCGCCTGAAGTCAGGTTCTGGTCCTGTGCAGATCACTGGGCGGCACCAGATTGGTGAGAGTCCTCTCCGTTTCCTTCAGTGGACTCTCCTTCAGGTCTCCTGTCCATTTCTGCTCCTCCTGACTCCACACTTTTTAAAAATATATTTTATTGACTTTTTACAGAGAAGAAGGAGAGAGAGAGAGAGCTAGAAACATTGATGAGAGAGAATCACCCATCAGCTGCCTCCTGCACACCCCCCACTGGGGATGTGCCTGCAACCAAGGTACATGCCCTTGACCGGAATTGAACCTGGGACCTTTCAGTCCACAGGCTGAAGCTCTATCCACTGAGCCAAACCGGTTTTGGCCTGACTCTACACTCTTGCCCCCTCCCAGCCTATCTCCCAGTGTAGCTGCCGTACAGGTTCTACATGATGGGTCCTTCACTTTCTGTCCTCATGCTTCCCGCCTTCCTGGAACCTGTCTCCGCTTCTCCAGCTCCAGCGATGTGTAACCCTTTGGCTCTTTGTCACCCAGTTTAGTATCTGAGGTTCTTCCCATCTTTTTTATTTTCTTAAATATATATATTTTTATTAACTTCAGACAAGGAGAGAGAGCTACAAACATCAACAATGAGAGAACATTGATCAGCACCCTCCTACATGCCCCCCACTGGAGATCGAGCCCACAACCTGGGCATGTGCCTTTGATTGTAATTGAACCCGGGACCCTTCAGTCCGCAGGTGGACGCTCTGTTCACTGAGCCAAACCGGCTAGGGCGGTTGTTCCCATCTAGACTATAAGTGCTGGGCGTTCAGGGCCCTGCCTAGCACCGCGGTGCATGAGTGAATAACATAATGAGGGAGACCTGGCTTTAACTACCCCCCCTTCCTTTTACTACTTGTGTGTATGCCAGTTACTGTAAGCAGTGTTTCTGAGGAAGAAGACAGTGAAGAAGAGGAGAGTGAGGAGGATGAGGAAGATGAATTGTACCCCATTCTGCCTGCCAAGAAACAGAGGGGCAGGCCTAAACCCCCCTTGGTGAGTGGGAGGGCAGGGTGCCTGGGAGGTCAGGAGGAGCAGACGAGGGCCTGAATGCTGATCTCTTCTTTGCTCTCCTCAGGTCAGCTAGCTGCTGCATACATGCCATACACCACGTTGCTGAACAAGTATCAAGAATTTTAAATGTCTCCACTGAAGAGGGGCTTGGGGCTTTGGGAATTGGGCTGGTACTAGGAGAAAGGGAGTCCCATTTTTGCTAGGGTCCTGATGTTCTAATTCTATACTATGCCTGGGGCTCCCCTTTTCTTCAGGAGTGGAACTCTGAACTGTCTTGACCCTGTTTCCCTTTGAGGTTGGAGGTCAGCATTTGAAGCTCAGGACTTACATATTTTAAACACTTTTTACATTTTGGGTAAAGGATGAAAATAAAGTGGTGTAGAGTTTTTTTTTTTGCAAAACTCATTGTGTGGCTTCTCTCCCTGCTGGGCTGACATTCCCCTAGGGACCACCAGGTGGCACTGTGGCAGCATTGAGGGTGGCCCCAGGCCTGGGGGAGGCTGACGAACTGTGGGATCCTGTTATCCCTAGGCCAGGCCTAGGCCCAAACTGTCTAGCTAGAAGAGGACCTCCCAACACCAAACTCATTTCCAGTTCCTACAGGTGGGGGAGGGCCATCCCAGGAGGTTATCAGCATCCAAACAAGGGGTCTGGGCCTCTGTCAGCACTCAGGCTGATGGGCAGGGGGGCAGATAAGGGGGTTTAAGCAGCCCGAGGAATGTGCATCTCTAGCCCCATGAGGGGGCTCAGAGTAGGGAGGAGGCCAGTCCTTGCTCCTCCTTTCAGCCTTGCAGACTGTCTCCGAGCTGATCTGGGCCTTTAGAAACCTGATTCCAGGGACCAGATGGAGGGGGTTGGCCAGATTGGGTGACAGGGAAACCAGAATCCTGGTGGCCTGGCATATGGGGGCAGAAAGGAGCTCCTGGGATTCAGCCTCCTAGGTTAAGGGGTTTCTTTCTCTCTCTCTCTCTCTCACACACACACACACACTGCCTGGTCTAGGGGCTCTGGTGCCTGGAATCAGTTGGTCCTGGCGCTTGGCTGCTGCTGTGCCCGGAGAGAAAGGGATTTACTTGATGTGATGTGTTGTATTTGTGGCCAACTCTGGGGTCAGCAGTTCAGCAGCTGTGTTGATGGGGTGGGGGTGTCTCAATGCCAACAAACAAACAAATAAAAGGTTACCTCTTGAGATAGCCTGGGGCCAGACATGCTGAAGATGGACAGAGAACAGTGCCTGCTGGGGCCAGGCCCTCTGCCTCCCACAGATGAGTGAGCAAGTGGGAGGGGTCCCTAGATAACCTGAGAGGCTGGTATTGGGCCAGCTGGGGTAAGCTTCGGAGAGCACTTCCTCTTGAACACATCCTGAGAAGTTCCCTCCTCTTTGTGGTGAGGAGCAGAGGCCCAGATTTTAACCTCCCTTTCCCTCGAATTGAAGATGACAGAAGATATCCTGCTGTTTTGTGGTGATCAGGGTTACAGGCCCCTTTATCCTCGCCAGGAGCACTTTGCTGAAGTGCTGCTGCCAGGAACCAGGGCAGCCAGGCTTGCAAGCAGTCACCTTCCCACAGCAGGGAGCAGAGAGGGATGGGGGAGGAAGAAGCTGGCGCCCTCTGGTGGGCGAGGCTGGAACCACCGGTGGCCGTGTGGCTACCCCGAGTCGCCTCTTTAGGGGCTTGAGGCGTCCTGGGGCCCATGTGCCCTGCAAGGTGTCTGGGCGCCGAAGTTTGGGCGGAAGGCGAGGGAATAAGTTATTAGAACGGAATTAATTCCTTTGCTCATCATTCACTGTGAGGGCTCTGGTTAGAGCGCTTCCCTACCTCCTCTCACCTGCAGCCTCCAAAGCCCTCAGCACGTGCACGCTTGGAGGCGAGGGAGGCCCGCTGGATGCTGGGAAGAGTAATCTCTCCGGGCTTGGTAGGGGGGAAGGCCGACCCAGCTGCCTCCTGCGCATGGCTCAGCTCAAATATTTACCTTCGGCGACGCCGCTGATGGCTCATTGTGTGCCTTGACTTTTGTCTTGGGTCTCAGTGAATCCCCTACCGGCTGCTGCCCGCAGTGGGGGCCCAATCCACATCTGCCCCTTGGTGCTGGAGGTCCCCAGCCGGACCGGGCGCCCCGCGGAGAGGACTAGGAATTAATTTTTCTTCCCCCACCCCGGTCTCTCCTCGATTCTCATTCCTGCACCCTTCGCGCACAGTAGGAGCGCTGCCAATTCACGGGGATGAAGGCGAACAGCGGCTCTGCGGGGGAGGGGGGCAGACCTGCCTTTGGTGCGGGGACGGGGAACGGCTCCCAGACGGAGCCCCAAGTGCTTAACGCAGTCTCGACGATTTGCATTTGAAGGGTCGGGGGAGGGTCCGCGGCGCTTTGAACGCCGGGCGCAGGAGGCGCGCGATGGAGCTGCGCGAGCTGGTGTGGATTTGAGGGGCCGGGAGTGGCCGGGGGCGAGGGATGCGCTTGGAAAGAGGCTGAAGGTGTGTGTGTGTGTGTGTGTGGGAGGGTACCCGCGAGGGTGTGCTTGTGAGAGAAGCTGTGTTGGTGAGGAGTGTGTGTTTGTATTGGTAAGGAGAGAGAGAGAGAGAGAGAGAGAGAGAGAGAGAGAGAGAGAGAGAGAGAGAGAGAGAGAGAGAGAGGGAGGGAGAGAGAGAGGGAGAGAGAGAGAGAGAGAGAGAGAGAGAGAGAGAGAGAGAGAGAGAGAGAGAGAGAAGGGTATTTGTGTTTGCGAAGTGTGGGGGCGGCCGGGAAAGGTGGCCGGGCTGTCACTCAGCGATCAGGTTGACAGGCACTCCCTCATCAGGGCCAGGGAGCTCTGATTGCAGATTCAAGGAAACAAAATAGCAATTGTAATTACGGGGCTTTGATAAGATAAAGGAGAGGGCGAGCTGGCTGGGAGGCTAGCGAGGGAGCGAGGGCGGGAGGGAGCAGCCTGCTGGGGCCCCTAAGGAATATTTGCATCTGTCACTCACAGAGGGTACCCAGGCTGTACCTGGGGCCTGGTTAGGGTGTGTCCCCATCTGTGGCCCTCTAGAGACACAGGCTTTTGGGGGTACGAGAAGAATTCCCTCTCTCTCCCCCCCCAAATGGAAGAGGATCAAGTTCAGGGGAAGTTCTTCAAATGTAAAGGAATTCTGGTCCTGCAGAGGCAGGCCCTTTGGGAGAGCTTAAGGTGCAGGACCAAAACCCTGACATCCACACTTGTAGGCCCAGATGCCTGGCTTCTCTGGGCGAGAGGGGAGGGTGCTGATCACAGAGGTTCAGCCCAGGGCCTTCAGAGCCTTCTGGGGCCTCCAGAACCTGGTCGGACCCTGATCTGAGCCAGGAGCTTTGGCTCTCACCCCCACTCCAGGAAAGGCTGGTGCCCAGAGTCACTCTGGTTGTGACTCCAGGGCCATGCACAACACACTAAGGAGAGGCTGGGTGCTGGGGTGCTGGTCGCTGGTGGGGAGAAGGCCCTTCCTGTCCTCTGCTCTCCATCTCTCCACTCATTCATTCATTAAAGTCTGCAAGTAAATCTTTTCAAGGGCCCACTATGCACAGGCGAGAGGCGAAGGTGGTGAGTCTCCTGCCTGCTTGAAGCAGTGCAGCTGGGGAGGTAAGCACTCAACAGGTGCCCCTCAGGCCTCTAGTTCTGAGGAGCACAACAAAGCAAAGGGGATGGTCTGGGCCGTGGGCAACGGAGCCCACCTTACCTGTCTCCCCACACCCCACCCAATGCGGCCATTTTCCAGTGGGCTCTAGCAAATAAATGGTTGTGTTTATGATTATTATCTGTTGGGGCTAGGGGGTGAAGGCGAGTCTCTCCAGGGAAGCAGCACATGGGCTGAGGTCTAAATGCTCAGCCAGTTTCCCCATTGCTGGTTCACCGAATATGAACTGCACAGCAACCCTGCCCAGCTCTGTGCCATGAGCTGCAAGTGCCAAGCTCATAAGACATGGTCCTTGCCTGCAGGTCTGTCTGGGCAAGAGCCAACAGAGTGAACAGACTCCTGGAGGGAGCAGCAGGTGGGCTCAGGAAGCCCACTCCTCTGAGGAGGGGTGAGATCTTGGGACAAGTCCTCTGACTCTGTTCTCCCATGTGCACGTTGCTCAGTGTTAGCAGTGTGGCTGGGAGTGGGGGGAGGCAGGACACAGAGAAAGGAGAGGAAGGCAGACCTTGGCTGCCTGCTGGAAAAAGGCCTGCTTACTGCCTCTGGCCTAATGGCTTCCTGAGACTACCCAACTCCTCCATCCCCATCCCCAAGGACGAGCAGGGGCCAGCGGGGCAGGGGAGGTGTGGTCAAAGGCAGCAGCTGGGCTGGGCATCAGCGGCTCCACCTGCTGCTGAGAAGTACCCTCCCCCCCCCCACACACCGCTGCTCCCCCACGCTGCTCCCCCAGAAACCCCCTCTCGCCTCCACCTGGGGAGGTGGATGTGAAGCAGTGAGAGGCTGGGAAAGCTCAGACAAGCCCACCCCTCCTCCTTGGGCACTTCCCCCACCCCCGTGGACACAAAGCCCCAGTCCCTGGCTTGGCTCGTACACAGTAGGTGTGTAAATACCTCAAGTGCACAAATAATGAGACTCGGAGGGAGACAAGCTGGCGGCCTGGGGGAAGCCTCTTTCCCAGGAGAAGCAGCGGGCAGCAGTTCCTTTGCCCCATCAGCTTGCTGCTTTGGGGGTGGCAGGGGCTGGGCGTCCTCTCCAGGGACTTCGGGGCTCCCTCGCATAGGTGGTTCCTAGTTCTTCCCGAGTCTTGGCGGGCGCGTGTGTGTGTTTGTATGGGTGGGGGTGGGAGACAGGGGGACAGGGGCGGGAGGAGACGGTGATGATGGGGGCGGGAGGGGAGAGGGAGAGATCTCTCTCTCTCTGGCTTCATGGAGACTGAACCGGACAGGAGAGACAGACAGGGCGAGGGGTTCAGCGGGAGGCCGGGGCTGGATTCTCTGTCGCGCATGCACTGCCCGGGAGCCCGGTTCACAGCCCTTCAGTCCGGCGTCCTCGCGGCTTCCCTGGGGGCAGGCCCAGCGGGAGCGCACAGTCGGTGGCCCAGGGGGAGCGCACAGTCGGTGGCCCAGCGGGAGCGCACAGTCGGTGGCTCGGTGGGAGCGCACAGTAGGTGGCCCAGGGGGAGCGCACAGTAGGTGGCCCAGCGGGAGCGCACAGTAGGTGGCTCAATGGCCAGTCGCACCTCCTGGGGCGAGAGAGCCCTGGGCCCCGTCGTGGAGCCCTGACACCTTCCCACTCACCCGAGTGCCCGGGGACCCCATGGAGCAGGCGCCCGAGGCACCCCCGTCCCCGCGTGTCCAACCCTCCAGAGCGCGCAAGGGGACAGGCCCCGGATGCGGGGGGGAGAGGCGCCCACCCCGGTGGCCCACACCCCTCCGGCGGGTCCCCAGACCCCTCCCCTGGCGCAGACCCCCAATCCCAGCCCCGCCAGCCGCCCCGCCCCGGCCGCCCCGCCCCCGCCGCGGGCTGCCTCCCGGCCCCAGCTCCCAGCCGGGGCTGCGGGCTCCGGCCGCCCGCCCCGCGCTCCCCCCTCGCGCCCGGTGCGGCGCCCCCCGCCCCCTCCCCTCCCCCTCCCCTTCCCACCTACCCACCCACCCTGCCGGCCCGTTACCCTCCGCCCGCGCCGGCTCCCGAGTCGCCAGCGGCCACCGGCTCCCGCAGCGGCGCGGAGCCACTCGGCGCGGCCAGCTCGCCCTCCCCGGGACCCGCGGAGCCGCGTGGGCATCGCCGCCGGCCCCCGCCCCGAGCCGCCCCGCTCGCCGCCGCTCCGGCCCGTGCGCCCGCGGGCGGCGTCCTCCCGCCGGCTCCCCGCTCCCTCCGGGCCGCGCCATGGGCGGCCCCCGCGCGGCGCTGCGCTGCCTGTGAGTACCGCCGCCCCGTCCCCCCGGCCGCGCGCCCGCCCGCGCTCACCCCGCTTTTGTCTCCGCAGGCTGCTGCACTTGCTGGTCCTCTGCCTCCAAGCCCAGGTAGGCGCCGCGCGGGGCCGGGCCGGGGCCGGGCCGGGGCCGGGGGCCGGCGGGGTCCAGGTGGGGCAGGGCCGCCGGGACCGACGCCGCGGGGCTGGAGGGACCTTACCAGCCGACCCTGACCTCTCGGGCGGGGGGCTGGGAGAAGAGGCAGGGCCCGGCACAAGGTCACCCAGCGGTGGCGGCGGAGCCGGGACCCGGGGGCTCAGGGTCAGCCCCGCGCCGTGGCCCGCGCCCTCGGAGGCCGGGCGGCCTGAGCGCACGGGACGGAGCGCACGGGCCGCACCTGGCGCCGGGGAGGGGCCGGCGGGCGGGGAGCGCGCGGCCAGGGTCCGGGGGCTGCGGCCGGCGGGGCGGGGGGCTGCGGCCGGGACCCTCTCGCGCCCTCGGGGGCGGCTGGTGGCCGGTCGGGCGGAGCGATCAGGTGCCCGGGCCCTGTGCGCCCTCAGCGTTTGCCCGTCAGTTTGTCTGTGTAAATGTCAGGGGTCCGGCGGCGCTGCCCCCTTACTCAAAAGCGCCCTGCTCTTCCAGGAAGGCCCGGGCGGGGGGCCTGAGCCGGGCAGGGAGCTGGCTCCCCTGTTCGGAGCCGGGCGCGAGGCCCAGGGTGTTCCCCAACAGGTGGGTCCGCATCCTCCCCGTCCCCGCTCGTCCACGTGAGGCTGGGTGTGCCCGGCTCTCCCGGGAGGGGGTGGGAGCCTGAGCTGGCATGGTGGGGGGACCCCCAGTCCCTGCGGCCGGCTGCCGGGGGCAGTGGACGGGGTGGGGTGGGTGGGAGGGTTGGGTGGGTGGTGGTGGGGGACAGGGCAATGGGGGCCACTTGGGCCCCTGGGCAGAGTAGCATTATAATGGCGTGTTGTGTATTTTTCAATTTCCTAAAGGTAACTGTTCAGTCCTCACCTAATTTTACACAGCATGTGAGGGAGCAGAGCCTGGTGACGGATCAGCTCAGCCGCCGCCTCATCCGGACCTACCAACTCTACAGCCGCACCAGCGGGAAGCACGTGCAGGTCCTGGCCAACAAGCGCATCAACGCCATGGCGGAGGACGGGGACCCCTTCGGTAAGGCGGCGGGGGGCAGCCTGGAGCGGCTGGTGGCACAGGCCCTTCCCTTGGCCGGCTGAGACTGCACCCACCAGCCCCAACTGTGTGGTGCGGTGGCCCCGGGGCCTGCAGGCTCGCCAGCTCAGAAGGCAAGGGGTTAAGGCATGTTGGGGGTCAGCTGGAGAAGCGAGGTCTGGGGAAGGGGCCTTGGGGAGTACTTGGCCCACAGGTGCCCCTTCCCTGCCCAGCAGATGAATGAATCCAGGAACTTCCCTTCCCACCTCCCCCTTGCGGGCACCCCTCCCCAGCTGCAGGTGGAGGCGGCAGAGGGGTCAGGGGGAGGGGGGCCAGGTTGGAGGGAAGCTCTTGAAAGAGGATATGTCGCCAGGGCCCACGAAAGGAGAGTGGGAAAGAGAAGAGAAGTCCCCCCTTCCCCGCCACGCTCACAGCTTGTTGGGGGGCGGGGGGAATTGGTTGTTGCTGTGAACCTTTAAACGTTGTGGTCAGAGGGGTCAGTCCCACCTGGGAATGGGCCTGGGGAAGGGAGCCCAGGAGCCCAGGTGGTGGGTCAGAGCGGCTCCCTGTGGGGTGGTGAGTGCAGGGAGCTACTGCCTGGCCGGCCGGCCCGAGAGTCTGAGGACTGATTGATTTCTAAAACATTCAATATTCCTGCCTTGAAAGGAGGCCAGTTTCCAGAGCCCGATGTACCCCGAGGAAAGCAAGCCCTCTGGGCGGCGGGTGTTGTTTTTAGAGAGCGATTATCGTGAGTTTAAAAACCTTTAAATAATGACCAAGTTAAACAAGCATGAAAGGAGAGGGGAAGACTCTATTAAAATGTAATAAAAAGGTGAGGCACTTTAAGAGCTAAGAAGAAAAATGAAGAATGATATAAAACAGAAAAAGAACAAGCCCTTTTTTTTTTTTCAGATGTGGAGTTTTGAAAAGAGTTGCAAGTCTGTAAATGTTAAAAAAAAAAAAAAAAAGAGGTTCAAGATTGTTCTCTATGAATCTCTGGAGAGACCCCCGCGTCTGGCAGAGCGATTAAAACTCTTCTTACTTTCACCTTTTTTAACATTTCCTGAATACTTTCTCCTCTTCTCGAGCCAGTTTGGGGGATCGAGTATGTCTCGCTGCATTTTTTCTGCGTCGACGTAGCTGACTTCTCTTCAAAGCTGGAGAAGGAGACATAATTTTCCTGGGATAAATCTGTCACTGGGTGGAAGAATAGGTTTGAAAATGTTAAGCTTTCCAAAAGCCGGGGCCGGGGAAAGCCGCGGTGGACGGCAGCCCCAGCTCCCCAGAAACAGCCAGCAGGAAGGGGAGTGGGGGCTCTGGACGGTGGGGGCGGGGGCGGCCTGCACGGTGGCCCAGCTCCCCCGCTGGGCTGGCAGGGCCAGCCAATCGGCCCTTTGTCCCTCCAGAGGGGCTGCGAGCTGCCCTTCTCAGCTTCCAGGGAGCGGGGACGCATGCCTGCCTGGCTCCTGGGCTCACTCGGTCAGAGCAAATGGCCGGGCATCCCTGGGTTTTGGGGTTTTGTGGAGGGAGGGAGAGGCTGCGCTGGCCGTGGAAGAACTCGTCTTTCACATCAGGGGGCTGACGCCCACGTCTCTCCTTAAGCAAATAGGCTGCTTCCCGGGCTCTGTGGGCCCTGCTTGCCCGGCAGGAGGGGAAGCGGGAGGGCCCAAAAGCAGAGGCTTGGGGTGTGCAGCCAGGACAGGAAGCGTCTGGAAAAGAGCAGCAGAGAGGTCCTAGCGGCTTTCTGATGGGCCGCAGAAAGGGACAGGGGGGGCCTCCTCCATCCCTATCCGCCCCCCGTGGCCAGAGTCCTCTGAGGGGTCCTCCCTTGCCCTTGGCCCATCAGCGTCCGTCTGTCCTGGCCCCTAAAAGCGCCCGCTCCTGGCCCAGGAGGACGCGCAGGGAAGGGATGAGCAGGCTGGCTGGATCCAAGAGGAGGTGGTGGGTGGGAGGAGAGGTGACAGCTGCATTCTCCCCTGGCTGACTGGGAGCCAGACTGAGGACTTGGCTGTGGGGTCCCAGCTCCGTGCTTATGGGAAGGGGGTGGGCGGCCTCAGGCTGGGCCGTGAGGGTGTCTTGCTGACCCTGATGCCCATCTTCCCAGGAGTTTCAGAGACAGAGGCGGTGCGGCCTTGTCACTGTGGGAGTCCCAGAGCTTTCTCCAGGCAGGAGGAGGCTGAGCTCTGCAGCGGGGATGGCAGGAGACCCACCCCCTTCTGTCCCAAAGGGCTAAAGCAGCCTCAAAGGGAGGAGTGACACCGGGAGCTGGTAGGAATTGGCCTCTGTGGCGAGTTGGCTGTCTGAAGGCACGGAGGAGGGGGAAGAGGCATAGCATTCAGCTCCACGTTTCCTCTCCAGACAGAGAAAAGTGTGCCTTATTCCTCCCTCCGCACCCTCAGAAAGGGCTGGGTCCCTGGGGCGAGAAGCCTCGCTGTGGTGGCCATTGAAAGAGGAAAAACCAATGAGCTGTTGGTTTCTGGACACCGGGGCTGGGGACTGTGTGGCTGGGAAGCATGGGGAAGAGGCGGGATCCTCCACGCTGGCGTCTGAGTTCTGGCTGGGGCTGTGTGAGGGAGAGCTGTGCCATCCCCGTCTTCTCAGCAGAGCAGCAGTGGGGCAGGGGGGCGGGTGGGTGGATGGCAGGGATGTGACTTAGACCCCGAGGTACCAGAAACAGGAGGGAATGCTTTGACATTTAGCCTCCGGACTGGAGGTCGCCACTGCACCCAGATGTGTATAATTAGCTGCAGGCCCGTGCACACAATGTTTTGAGTTGGAAGCGTCCTCATAGATCTTCCCATTAGCAGGAGAACTCTAGTCGGGAAGCCTTGACATAAACGTCATTACTGTCTGGCTTTAAGAGATTCTTTCCCATTGGATGGCCCCAAAGCTGCTCTGCGGAACCCAGTGGGCACACCGTGATCTTGTCCATCCTCTGTAAGCCTCCTGAGGCTGGGAAGGGGACTTGATCTTGCCTAGAGGGCTGATGCCCACCTCTCGGGCACCTGGGCCTCCGAGCAGGTGCTATAGGATGTGACAAGTGTGTGGCCAGCTGGGGCGAGGCCCCAGGTCCGTGGGGAGCTTCCGGTAACCTTCTTCCTCTGTCCCGGACAGCAAAGCTCATTGTGGAAACGGATACCTTTGGGAGCCGGGTTCGGGTTCGAGGAGCTGAGACGGGTCTCTACATCTGCATGAACAAGAAGGGGAAACTGATTGCCAAGGTGACGCCCCAGAAGGAAGGGGTCCCGGGAGCGGCTGGGGGCCTGGGGGGCTCCTCTAGGATGACAGCAGGGCGGGCAGGGAGACACAGGGCCACCTCGGGGTTACCGAATGCTCCGGAGAGAGAGGTGAGGGAGAAGGGAACTGCCTGAGAGAGGAAGAGCTATAAAGGCAAAGAGGGAAGAAGGAAGGCTCGGGAAGGGGCTTGGGGGGAGGCCGGTAAATTCCATATATCTTTTTAACAAATCGCCAAATTGCTTTGCTATTATGTCCAATTACATGGTACCAGCATTTGGAATGTTCAGTAAGCCGCAGGCCCAGCCCCTCGGCCGAGCTCTGAAATGGCCCCATTAGTCACGGCTCCTCTCCAGCCTCGAGCTCCTCGCTCTCTCGCTGGGCCTCTGGGGCTGCAGGCTCAGCGCCTCCCCGAGGGCCTCCCCTCCCCCAGGGGGTGGCTGCCCAGGGGCCCTGGACCCCAAACCCTCAGGGACCGAGGGGGGCAGCTGGGGAACCGGGTGGGTGCTGGCTGCTCTGGCCAGACTGGCGGGCAGGAGGCCAGGGCGGGCAGGGTCCGGGCCCCTCTCCCTGCTCTGCGGCAGGCCCAGCCCTGCCGGGGATGGCCATGTGTCGCTGCTGCCCGGGAGGACAGGAAGCTGCCGGGCGGGCTGCGGGTGGCGAGGGATTAGGAGCCGGTGCCGGGCAGGGGGTGGGCTGCAGCTCCTGCCCACGGTGCCATCTGCTGGGGAGCCCGCCTGCCGCCCGGGCCGCCTGCCCTCTGCCTCTGGCGGGGGCGGGGGCGGCGGCGGGGGCTCCGCAGAGAGCCCAGTAACGCCGCGCCTGGTGCTCCTACCTGCAGAGCAACGGCAAGGGCAAGGACTGCGTGTTCACGGAGATCGTGCTGGAGAACAACTACACGGCCCTGCAGAACGCCAAGTACGAGGGCTGGTACATGGCCTTCACCCGCAAGGGCCGGCCCCGCAAGGGCTCCACGACGCGGCAGCACCAGCGCGAGGTCCACTTCATGAAGCGCCTGCCCCGCGGCCACCACACCACCGAGCAGAGCCTGCGCTTCGAGTTCCTCAACTACCCGCCCTTCACGCGCAGCCTGCGGGGCAGCCAGAGGACTTGGGCCCCGGAGCCCCGATAGGCGCCACCGGCCGGCCCCGCAGCTCCCCCCGAGGCCTCTGGGGGGCACAGACCCAGACACTCAGCCAGAGGAGGCCTGCGCCCCTGAAGGCTGGGGAGCCGCCTGGGGGGAGCCCGGGTTCTAGTTGTTGATAATTGTTTGCTGTTTTTGTTTTGTTTTGTTTTGTTTTTTTTTTAAACAAAAGAGAGGCTCTATTTTTGTATTCCACTTGGCTGTGGTGTCTTCTTCACTCTCAGGAAGGCCGGGTGGTGGCCCAGGAGTCGGGGGGGCCTTTTCTAATCCGGCAGAGGTGCCCCTGAGCCTCCGGAGCCCCCAGTGCCCGTAGGGCCAGCTGGCCAGGCAGCCAGGAGCTCCACGGCACCCCCAGGTGGGGGCAGAGAGGGGAGGGGAGGCACTTAGGTCAGGCTTTGTGAGGGTGGGCATCCGTGGGGGGAGGTTGTGTATTAGTGCTATTAAATGACTGAAATATTTATTTAATTTGCATATTAAAAATGTGTGCTGGTGGGTGAGTCCTGTTGGGGTCAACCTCCCGCCCCTCTTCCCTGCCCCAGCTGGCCGGGGGGGGAGTGCGGGGGGCTGTGAGATGCAGCAAATCAGGCCCCATCTCTGACTAGCCTCCCTGCAGCCTGAGGCCCATGTCTGTCTGCTGTCTCCATCACTGACACTGGAGGGTTTTCCTGGGAGGACAGGAGCAGGGGAAGGAGTGAGAAGAGGCTCTTAGCAGGTCCTGGGAGACACGGACTTCCTAGCTTTTAACAGGATTTATGGCTAACACTTCCCCAGGCCACCCCTGGGCCAGAAATGATGGCTCTCCTAGGGCCAGAGCTGCGATCGCGGACTCCGTGCGTCTAAGAGAAGTGCCTGTGTGTGTGCCTAGGTCTGCGAGAGAGACAGGAGGTGCCGAGGCTCATTCTCTCTGAGTATGAGCCTCCAGAAAATGAAAGAAAAGAGCAGCTGCCAGGGCCCAAGGTGGGGGTGTGTCAGAGGGGGGACCTCCAGGGCTGGTGTTGACATTCGTGACACAGAACAAGTGTTCGCTTTCGCAGATCTGGTCAGAGAGCTGTGAGCAGAAGGTGCTGAGCTCAGGTGCTGCCAAAGAGCCCAGGGACTGTGGCTTAGGGAGTGGCTGCCCCCTTGGAGAGAGGGGGCTTGGAGGGAGGGGAAGCAGGTCATGGTGTGGGAAAGGGGACGGTCCATGGGGGGGTGTTTGGATGGGAACTGGTGGCACTGGTATCATACCACACCATGGGATGCTAAGATGAAGAGCCCAAACCCAGACGTAACAGGTCTCCTGAGGGCAGAGCTGGCCCAGGCTCTGTAACTGAGGCCTCCGGTGCTAGCTGCTTCTGCTACCTTCTTTGAGGGTGCCCAGCTCCTAGGTCCAAGGACAATCCAGAAACTTCTCCCCTCTGCGCGTCTGTTCTGTGGCACCTCCTTTGGCAGGCGAGCACCCCAAGGCTTTCTAAACACATGGGTCTCCCAGAGTCGCAGCTGCAAGTCCCGGGCTCAGGCCATCCAGGTGGATCGGGAATGCCAGGGTTCCGTGGGAGGCCTTGGAGTAGTGAGATGGGGGATGCCCTGCGGTTTGTCCACGTCGCTTCTTCCAGCCTGCTCTAGGGTGAGGGTTCTGGGTACGGTAGGTTTGGTTTACAGACACTGGGACTTGGGGATGGGGGGGGGGGGGCGCTCTAGACATCTCTCTTCCAGCTCTCCGCTCTTCGTGCCTCCAACTCCACTCCATCTCCTCCCCTCCCCCTTTAATTAATTCTGGGTGAGCAGCCTGGCTTTATTGTGCAGGGCGCTGGGTCTCACTGTGGGAAAAGTCACACCTTCTGAGCAGCTTCTGATGCCATGCAAATGAAGAGACCGTCCAGGAAACGCTTTCATCTGCAGGCCGCCTGTCCAGCCCCTCGCCCAGTAATTACCCGCATTTCATTTGTGTGAGAGCAATTCCTGGGGGAAGCCGCCGGACAGGAGGGAGTCTGGGGTGGGGTGGAATGTCAGGCTCTCCCCGCCTGTGATCCTGGCCACAAAGCGGGGCCAGGCCGGGCCAAGGCTGGCCACTGGCGAGGCCAAAGCGACCCTGAGGCCTGAGGACTCCGGAGCGGTGGTGGGGGGACTGTGCTATGGCGATGATAAGGGGGAAGAGGTGGGCTGTCCGTAGAGCTGGGCCTGCCTATAGGGAGGAGGGAGATGACGATAGGGTGGGGTGGGGGAAGTGGACGGGATGATGGGTATCTGGTCCAGGAGACGGCCTGAGACTTTGGGAAGGGGTTGGATCCTAGCAGGACTCCAGGCCAAGGTGCCATGGGGCAGAGCCCAAAGCAGTGGGCTAGGCCTGGCTAGGGCACCCACCACCTTGTTTATCTTTGAGTTGCTGCCTCCACAGAACCCTCACTAATGGGGTTTTACAGCCCACTCAAGCTGCAACTGGCCAAGAATCAATCATTACCGGCACTTAGCGGTTTGATAGTTAACAGCCTGAACTGAAGCCAAACTGGTTGTTAACTGTGATAACAACTGATTTCAAGGGGTTATTGCCGGCCCAATATGCTCAGCCCATTTATTTCGGGGAAAACAAGCAGGGAGCTGTTGCGAGGCCCAGGGAAAGGAGGAGGGCTGGGTCTTCCCCAGCCAAAAGGCCTGCCGGTCTGTCTCGGAGTGGGCGCTGGCCGGGTCTGCGTGGAGGCTTCATCTCCCAGAATTCCACTGAAGACCAATGCGCAGGCACAGGTGATGCCACAGAAGCCCTCTCAGTCCTCCCTTCCTGGTTCTTACCCATCCTGGTTTCCCACCTTCCCTTCTCCTTTTCTCACTGCAGCACTTCCCGCGAGGCCCTCCCAGGCACAGATTCCCCATGCGGAGGGGCCAGGCTCAGGGACCAGGCCTCTCCTTGTCCGCACTCAGCAGATGGGGCTGGACCCCCCCTTCACTCTTCCTCACCAGCGCTCCAAGTCCAAGGCAAACCCTTGCCTCTCAAGTCAAAACCAGTGGAGACTCCACCCAAACCTTGACTAGAAAGAAGCAAGAGTTCTTTTCCTCTTACTCCACCAGGTCCTGTCTGTCCCTGCCTTCTACCCTCAGCCAAATGGCCGAAGGTGGGCTATCGCTAAGCCTCCTTCTAGAACGTGCACCAGCAAAGGACCAGAAGTTCTCCACCGTTTACAGAGAGACAGCGTGAGGCCCGGAAGCCACATGGCTAGTGCCAAAGCGAGTACTAGAAATCAGGTCTTAATCCTCAGACCCAGGCTGCTTCTTGAGGACTGGCGGTCTTTCCCTAACTGGATTCATTCATTCACTGTTGAGTGCCAATCATGAGCCAGGCTGTGATCTGATTAAGGAGAAGCAGGGTATAAGGGACAAAGCCCTGCTATTATGAAGTTCACCTTCTAGTGGTGGGATGCAGAGCAAACAGTGTATAGAATAGATACCGACAACCACTACAGGAAAATGAGGCTGACAGGTGGACGAGGGTGGTAGCAATTGCAAACAGGTCGGTCAAAGAAGGCCCCACTGAAAACTTAATGTTGGAGCAGACAGCTGACGGAGGTAAGGCGTTAAGATATCTGGGGGCCCCAGCTGGTTTGGCTCAGTAGATAGAGCGTCAACCTGCGGACTGAAGGGTCCCGAGTTCAATTCCAGTTGGTGCATACCTGGGTTGCAGGATCAATCCCCAGTGGGAGGAATGCAGGAGTCAGCCAATCAATGATTCTCTCTCATCAATTATGTTTTTCTCCCTTCTTCCTTCCTTCCTCTCTGAAATCAACAACAACAACAACAACAATAATAATAATAATAAAAGATATCTGGGGAAGAAGCCATTCCGGTAGATGGAACAGCAGGTGCAAAGGCTTATTGTATTAGAGGAAGAGGAAGGAGACCAGTGTGGCTGGAGCCAAGTGAGGGAAGGTTATGAGTGTGTGTGTGTGTGTGTGTGTGTGTAGTGGGAGGGGGGATGGGGGTGCACAGAATGGTAAGTCTGAGCGACTAATTATTCAAGTGGAGATGTTGAGTAGGCAGTTGTGTATGAGTCTGGAATTCAGGGAGAGAGGTCTAGTGTGAAGATATAAATTTGGGAGTGTTCAGCACACAGGTGATTTTTAAAAGCCAAGACATGGAATGGATTACCTAGGAAGCGGGCATAAATAAGAAGAGCTCTAAGCCTGAACCTTGGTACACTCCAAACATTTAGAGGTCAAGGTGAAGGGGGGTACCGCAAAGAGGGCTGAGGAAGCGTGGCCCATGGAATAGATGGGAGCAAAACCAACTGATAAAATGTGAGCAGACTCGGTGGTGTCCTGGTGATAAAGGCAAAAGAGCAACTTCTGAGCGTAAGCTTTTAGGTGGGATTAGGGCGAGTTTTACTGTCCACACAGTTTCCCTTCCTCCCACCTCTGCTCACCCAGGGCCGAGAAGGAGCAGCCAACAGAGTTGGGTTAACCCGGGAGTCTCTTGCTCTTCTCTCAGCCTCTCCCTGCCTCTCACCCTGCTCCCTGGACCTCCATTGCATATGTCAGATCCAATAACCTAATTCTACCTATCGACTCCCACCACCCTGCTCCGAGCTATCTTCAGTCCTGTCTGGCTCATGACAGCAGCCCCCTAACTGCTCTCTCTGTTTCCTCTCTTATCCCCCTACAATCCTTTCTGTACTCAGTTTGCACAAAGTTTAAAACATAAACATGATTGTGTTACCACCATAGCTAGAGGAGTTGAAGGGCTGTGGCTGTGTCTTCTAGAATTTAAATCAAACCCTCCCCACCCCCCACGGCCTGTGTGTTCCCGTCTGCCCTAACCTTACGGCTTCACTCTCCCACTCTCCCTTAGGGCCACGCTGCCTTCCGGCTGCATCTGCCTCAGAGCCTCCGCACTTGTTCTCTCTGCCTGGAATGCTCTTCTGGATAGCTGGATGGCTGACTGCTCATTATGTAGTTTCCTGTCATCACTCCCTGCTTTATCCTATATAATAAAAGGCTAACATGCGAATTGTTCCCTAGACCAGGAGTTCAACCAGGGTGCAGGGCTGGCCAGGGGGACAGGCCAAAGGCAGTTGGGGTGGGGAGCTGATCCATGTTGTTGCAAGAGTTTGTTGTATTTATCACGATCTGATATTATCCTGTTGTTTATGTGTACACTTGCTTATGGTTTCTGTGTCTCTCATCGATGATTATCCAGTGCCTAGGACAGTGCCTGGTACATTGAAGGTATGCAATAAACAATAGTTGAAGCAATCAACTGGGAAAATGTGAGTGGACTCGGAGGTGTTGAGTGGAGGGGGTGGTTTGGGAGTTCTCTGTGTCTCGGACTTGGGTCAGGCGTTGGCAATGCTGGAAGGTCAGGGAGACCAGAGAATAGTCCGAGGATGGATGACCCTCCGAGCCCATCCAGTGCATGATTTTACTAAAAGAAGGTCCAAGGCTGTCTGCCCAGGCTCACCCCCGTTTCCTCAAGCTGCAGTAATGTCTCAGAATC